AAATGTGACATTACAAAATTTTTGAATATAAATACACGTTTAGTATATATGAGATTGTTTAAAAGAGAGACATTACGAGTTTTAAAGTATGAATGTATATGTATGGTAAGACCGTTTTAGAATGTAGATGGTTATTATAAGTTTAATTAGAAGTTTAAATATTTTTTTTAGAGGGTATCAACTATCAACAATTAATAGATCACCAATTAGTATTAAACCGTGGTTAGAGCACGATATGATTGATATCTTATATCCACGTAATGTAATCGTTTGAGTTACTTAGGTATTTTGTCCCTTTTATTGTACCAAAAAAGAAAAAGAAGTTTAAATATTTTCTATTTTTTTTTAAAAAAAAAAAAAAAGAAGAAGAAGATTGACGTGAAGGAAGACAACAACCTCGGTTTGAGCAAGCATGCTTGAGTTGGAGGGTTTCAAAAGATGGGTAAGGGAAGTAAGCAGCACAGTTTAAAGTCGAAGGAAAATTAATGAATACGCATAGCTATCACAACATTATTATCTACTTATACATATAGGACTGGAACTACTACTATTAAATAATAAATACGATAGCCCTGAGATCCCCGAGACCATGTCTCCAACATTAAATCACAGTTTCAGACTACATTAAATCACAAATTAAAAAAAAAAAAGAGAGAGAAAACGTAAGTATTGAAATATCCCATTTCCGTCTTATAAAAGACAAAACTGAATAGATTATCAAAATATGCAAAAATAAATCACTTTATTATATCCTCTTTTTTTTTTTTTTAAACGAGAGATAAAATAGGTTGATTTTCTAAGAGTTTCATACTCTAAGTCATTAAAATTGTTATTAATTGTGGCCTTATCAAAACCGGCTCAGCTGCTTCTAGTAGGCACCGATCTACTACACTAAGAACAAACGATATATACATGTTCTTTAATTTTAGTGGATTTTAGGCATTCAGTAATGGTGGAAACAGACCTCAGCCTCCCTCCCTTTGAATTTGATATAGCAAAACAAACTCGGTCAAGTACTCCTTATTTTTCTTGGTAATACTATTACTTTATTGCAAGAACCCTTAATGGAAAATTGTGGAGTAAGATCCAAGAAATTGTACAACTTACATGTTAAAAAAATATGTGAAATTTGGGCTGAACCTTCCCATCTTTGAGCTTTTATGATGAGGGTTAATATTGTATAAAGCATGAAGATATCTATTAATTAATAATCAATTGACAAGAATCTGGTCTAACGTAAGATTTGATTGCACCCCTTTTGTCCTTTTGGAATTGGTTGAGTATCAAAGGGTGTTTTCAATCCCTTCTGTTTAGAGGTTTCGGCAAATCGAGGCCATACATGAACTAAGAGCAATTTTTTTACTTATTTGAGAAATTGACAAATTTTTTTTAAGATAAAATGAGTAAAATGAGCACTTAAATTTTTTAATAAAAAATAATCGCGGTGCAAATTACTATGGCTAGAAACCTGAAACCCCACGTGAAAAACTAATGTATCTTTTGATTTTATAAAACAAATCTAATTCATTAATGTAGAACATATTTATACATATAAAGAAAAGTCGCGTCTTCATAATTCAACTATTGGTGAAATGGAAATGCAATTCTCATTCTTTCATGATTATACACTCTGACTTTTAATTGTTCTACTGTTCAAAAGTTACAATACTATGGACTAAATTTGTTGAAATTGAAACATTGAGGACGAATAAACATTAAGGACAATTTATCGAAAAACTCTATTAAATATACTATAGTAAGAAGAATATATACTTTTCTCTTTGAATTAGTAGTCATCAAAGGGAAAAAAAAGAAACCAATGCTTTTTTCCACTCGTTATCCCAACAGTCCTAGTTTTTTTACACTTTCTGAGTCATTTTTTTAATTAAGAATCTAAGGACAAAGAAATATTTTATTCTCAATGGCCGGTTATTCGAAACATTAACTTAATCCAAAAAGGGTAAAGGAAAATCCCAACACAATTGACTTGACGAACAATATAGATACTATATTTTTTGTTATCATGCATATTTTGTTTGCCATGGAAATATTCTTTCACTCATATATATATATATGTAGGAATGTCAAAATTTTGATATCAAACAATAAAAAAAAGTTACCGTTCATGATCTCGTGCACTACATATTCTTTTATCTCAAACTAGGCGTTCATGTAAAGTCTTAACACATGTATATGTTGTGAATGTTGTGATCATTAATTTTTTTTTTTCATGAAATTAATTCTTCGGAGGGGCAAGAAATTATTGTTTTTGAACCTCAATTTTCATTATTTTTCGTTTGTTTTTAAGCAACTTTTTTCTCATTTGTTGTTTGTCAATAGTGAAAACCGAGGTCATAAGACATCAAAAAAAACGTTCAAATTTTTTTTAATCACCCCTCGTTTTTTTCTGATTTGTCAAAGGTTATTATAATGTTGTCTCTGCGATTGAAATTAGGAAAACTGTCATAGAGAACGAAGTCAATTTTGCCTGCACTATCGTATTAATGCCTGTACGGTCGAGTAAAGAATTTGTGGATATTTTAGTTTAGATTGTTCGACATTTTGTACACATTTAGGCACGACTTTTATTTTCTTTTGGGTGATAATATTTCATAGACACCGACATCAACTATACCTGGCAACATACTATGGGGAAACATTGTACCTTATTGCGCGTGAACACATTGTACCATGAACTTGTACTGTACTCGACTAGGAAATGAGGGGAAAAAAAACCATTAGTATAAATTTAATAATTTAATATGAATTATTTTTTAGGACAAAGATGGTATAATTTTTTAGTGCCTAGTGCTATAATTCGGCAGCAGCGAACATGGCATTTGGAGAAATTAAAGCGAGCAATTTGAGTTTACTGATTTTTGTCACAAAACATAAACAAAAATTTGCGAGTATCATATTTTATCTTAACGAGTATCTTCTAATAAAATTTGCAAGATCTAAACTTTTCTTACAAAAAAATCTTCTAATAAAATTTGTGAGGTATTAAACCTTAACGAAACAAGAATCTTTCAACACGTGATATTCTCTTAATTAGTTAGTATTTTGTCAAAAATCTCAAACTATAGTGGGGTGTATATTTTTTAAAATGTTAATTTTTTTTAAAAAATTACTTCGTATTATATACAAGGGTTGTATTCTCTTTCGATAGTGCGACAAGTATAATAACCCTCTTACTTTGTCACGTAATTTCTCATAAACGTTCAACATTTCACCCAAAATAACTGTTGTAGTGTCAAATATTTTTACTCTAATTGTTTACTATACTTTTTACACGTGTAGCATTTGATCACCAAATAATTTACCACTTTGCCAAGTGATAATAATTGCGGAGAAAATGAAACAGCAAGAATCTGGAAGTGGTCCTAAAATCCTTAATAACAATAACAATAGGACACAAAGGACCATCAATCAACGTGGTAGGCATCAGATGAGATTGTACAAAAGAGAAAGAGGACCACACGGGCTGACTGCTGCACCCTACTGCAGGCAAACGCAAACCCCCCAAAGTCCAACCACGAAGCCAATGTGAAAACACACCTTAATAATAACAGAGAGCTCTGCAATCTGCATCATCAACCACAGTGAGAAAAGAAAGGTTATGGTAAAAAATAAGACTGACTGAATGACTTGACTCATAGTACTAAAACAAGAAAAAAGAAAAACGGTTCCCACGTGTCGTAGGCCCCACCCGATAACCCCCAGGATTTTTATTTTAGTTCGTGTTTTTCTTTTTCTTTTTTTTTTTCTTGTTCTCTCTCTCTCTCTCTCTCTCTCTTTAATAATTGTTTGTAATTTTTAAGGATTAGGATTTTTCCAAGTCAAAATGAGAGATCTAGTCTCATAAAACTCCACGACAAAAAATAAAAGGAAATAAATAATCGTATTAATTAATTACACAATTAATAATTCATTTTTTCCGAATTTGTTGAACGAATGGTTGAGGAGGAAGGGAGGAAAGGAGGGGAAATTCCTTTGCCGGGTTAAGTTGAGCCAACCCTGTTGGTGTGTTGGTTGCGGGGAAGCAGACAACCAATGAGACGGCAGCCGTGATCCCCTTTAACGGCAAACTTAACGGAATCAGTTGTAGCATTTCCTTACTCATTTCTCTTCTCTTTTTCTATTTTTCATTTGTTAGTAAAATTTCTTAAATTGGCTGCTTAATTAATGTTTTTTCCCCTCCTTTTTTGGTATTAATATGAAGGCTAATAAAGTATCATTCTCGTGTTACTTTTTTATATAGCGTTTTTAGAAATTGACACGTATATGCTCGATGTTTGTTAAACAAAATACATGTGTTAAGGTATTAACACGTAAACAAAGCGGTGTGAATCGTTCAAACAAAATGATGGATCATACCTAAATCGTTGTGAACATTTTAGCATGACAATCTTTTGTAGTATCATTTCCAGTTTTTAAACCAAATTGGAACACTGATTAATTAATTTTAAGATAAGAGCCTAAAAAAGGATTGAATTTTACCATTCCGAGACTTGTATTAAAACATTCATACTAAGAATATTTTTAGGGCTTTCCATATTAAGGATGGTTCACAACGACATCTTTGAGAAATTTAAACAAATATAAAAATATCTTCTTGGAGTTTTTCGATTCTTCCAAATAAAAACTTTTTTTTTTTTTTTGGCTTTGTGAGTCGTGAGTATCAAGAAAATATATGCTGTGATTTACAATTAGCAAATTGACCCGAATTAATTATTGTCAAAATAATTTTCGACCAAAAAAGGATTCCCTTTTTGGGGACATCTTTCAAACCAGAAAGTTTCGACTAAAATTTCATCCACAAAATATCCAACATTTTGGGCTCTCGTTCAAATAGAAAACTTGGGCTCCTTTGACTTTCACTTTTTTTTATTGATTAATTTTTAATATTTTCGGCTCTCGTTAATGTTGATTAATTTTTATTTCGAAATGGAAATAATCTCTTCCTGATGCAACAAATCCAACTTTTTTTTTTTTTTTTTGTAAATGTATCTCACCAATAAAAGTAAGAGACAATTACGAGATTGGAGGTTCAAAACTACACAAAAGAAAAATTTGTATAGTATAGTAGTATAGTAAAAGTATATAGAATTGATCCTCACTTACAAACTCAATACATACCCATAATTTATTTCCTAAAATATAATCGTGATCATGCTCAAATTTAAGAGTACAACTCATTCAGTCATTCCATCTTAAAAAAAAAAGTTTACATTTACAAAAAAAAAAACTTATTATTATTATTATTATTATTTAGAACACTTATAAATATGGGTTCTTAAAATTGAAACTTGGTTATAAAAATAAATTTTAGAAAGAGAAAAAAAAGCAAAAATTAGCCAGAAGACTAACAGAAGGGCCCCAGTCCACACTCTCCATGGCTGCCTGCCTGCCTTACTCATCCTTAGTCAATCAAAGTCTGCTTACTTCCCTTTCTTCTCCTTTTTCCTTAACCACAAAATAGATTAATTAATTAAAATCTGATGATGATGAGTTTTCTCTAATTAAGTGCAAAACCAATTCATCACAACCATCCAATTCCCCAATTAATTTACTCCTAAACCATGGTTTGTTAGGTTAACCTCAGATGGAAAAGAGATGGTACACAGTACTAACTACAAACAAACCATACACGCACTCACACAGTACAGTTTGGTAGGCCACAGTCTCCCTGGACCCCAACATCAAACCCTCCCTATTACAGTCTCTCTAACTCTCTGCACTATACTAGTAACATAGAAAAAGCAGACAAACCAACCCACGTTAAGATTAAAGGAAAGGGGGGGCCAAGAGAGAGAAAAATTCAGAGAGAGAAAGCAACAAATCAAGGCGTATACTTAGCTGTTTTTCGGGTTTCTAACGCCGTTTCTTGCATTTCTCCTAGCTTCTCTGAGAGATTAGAGAGTGGTGACTGGTGGGTAGTAGTAGTTTTGTGGGGGGTTATTTTTGTTTCTCGGGTTGAGCTGAAAGCCTGAAAGAAGAAGCTTTTATGCTTAATTGCTTTAACGGTTAATAAAGATTGGATTTTTAACGTTGGAATTTGGGAAGCCTTCTTCTCCAGCTAAGGATTGTTTCTTAATTTGGGCGGTGGGTGCCTTTAAAGAGCATTTATGTTTGTGGGTTTTTAGTGGGTTTTCTTGAGTTAACTGCGTTTATTTATTGATTAATGTTGTGAGGAGAGGTGGGATGGAGAGTGTAACGAATTGAATTTATTGTTGGAGGCAGGAAAGGAAAAGGGTTGTTGGGTTTGGTTTTTTTCAGGTTGATTGATTGATTGATTGATTGATGATATAGAGAGTTTAATTTTGTGGGTATCTGTTATCAAAAGAAAAATTCTAATCATGGCATGTAGAGGGCCTTTTTCCCAGCAGCAACAAAGCAATGTCTCAGTTGAAGGTCAAATTTCCTTCTTTTCTTCTCTTTTCTTCTTCTTCTTCTTCTTTTTTTCCTGTAATTTTCTTTTCTTTTTGTTTTTGTGAATTTTGTGTTTTAAATTTCATATCCTCAAATTGATTTCTTGTTTTTGCTTGGGGGAATCAGGTCATGATGATCTGTACACAGAGCTGTGGAAGGCTTGTGCAGGTCCATTGGTGGATATGCCAAAGCCTAAAGAAAGAGTTTACTATTTTCCACAAGGTCACATGGAACAAGTAAGCCTTTTTTCAATCAGTTATTTGGATTCTATTTGGTTTTGCTTTAAATGTTAAGTACTTTGGTAATCAGTTTTTGGTTGAAAGTTCTAATCTTTGGAGATTATGATGAGCTTTAGGAGCAAAATTGGAGCTTCAAACTTCTGTTGTTTAGGATTCTGACATACCTTTTTTGGGGTTCTGTTTTCAATTTCAGTTGGAGGCTTCTACAAATCAAGAGGTGAATCAAAAGATACCAATGTTTGGTCTACATCCAAAGATCCTCTGTAGCGTTGTAAATATCAAGCTTATGGTATGAATTTTATGACTTTCTCCCTTATTTTTAATTGGTCCCTTTGCCTCTCTTTTCTGTCTGGTTCCGGGATAGTTTTGTGCTTTGCAATCATAATTGTAAGAAAGTTGTGTTATGTTTTCCTAATGCTGGAGTGGATTTTGGTTTATAGGCTGAACAAGAGACTGATGAAGTCTATGCACAAATTACTTTGATACCAGAGCCAGATGTAAGAATCTATTTGTTCTCATGTAATTTTGATGTTCATCCGGGATTATTAGAGGAGGAAAAGTAATGTTTTCTGCCAAAATACCTGCAGCAAAACGAGGTGAATTCCCCAGATTCACATCCTGCTGAGCCCCCAAGGCCAACGGTTCACTCCTTCTGCAAAGTTTTAACGGCTTCCGATACAAGCACTCATGGGGGATTTTCTGTTCTTCGAAAACATGCCAACGAGTGTCTTCCTCCCTTGGTACTTTTATACTCTATGCATACTTTTATGATCCTCTCCATTCCCCCCCCCCCTATTTTGCTATCATTTTACATGTTACTGATCCATGTTATATGTAGTTGAACTAACTTTAACATTTTTGTTTAGGACATGACTCAGCCGGTGCCTACACAGGAATTAGTTGCCAAGGATCTTCATGGAGTTGAATGGCACTTTAAGCATATATTCAGAGGTAATGGTCCTTTCCCTGCTTCATTTTCGAACGTTTTCCTTTGCTCTTAATTTTTAGTGAGATCCATATTTGTTTAACTGACGTGTTGCTATGTTTATTTTCAATTGATTGTAAATAACAGGACAACCTCGTAGGCACTTGCTTACAACTGGCTGGAGTACATTTGTTACATCTAAGAGACTCGTAGCTGGAGATTCTTTTGTATTTTTGAGGTATTTGCCGGTTCAATCGTCAAATTGGCTTCTTCGCTTCTGTGGTGCGAATAATTTGTATCTAAATTTTTTATCTACATCATTTAGGGGTACAAATGGAGAATTACGGGTTGGGGTTAGACGTCTTGCTCGCCAACAGTGCTCCATGCCACCATCAGTGATTTCAAGCCATAGCATGCACCTAGGAGTGCTAGCCACTGCATCTCATGCTGTTCAAACTGGAACCCTCTTTGTTGTTTACTACAAGCCAAGGTGTACTTTATGTATCAGATTATTCTTATGCTCAGTTGGCATAATTTTTTTCCTTATATGCAGAGATCAACGTTGAACGATATGCATGTTTCTTATAACCCCTTTATTTATTATTTTTTTTGCTTATATTTTCAGGACGAGCCAGTTTATTATTGGATTGAATAAGTACTTAGAATCAATTAGCCATGGGTTTGGAGTTGGCATGAGGTTTAAGATGCGATTTGAAGGGGAGGATACTCCTGAAAGAAGGTTTGGATTGTTGTAGAATTTCGTTTAAGGTTAAGATATTATAAATAGAAGTTCTAACATTTTCTCTGTTTTTCCCTTTCACCTGGATCAGATTTACTGGTACGATAGTTGGTGTAGAAGATATTGTCCCTCAATGGAAAGATTCTAGATGGAGGTCGTTGAAGGTCAGAATAGCTTGTTTCTGTGTCATCTAGGTTGTCTTTTTTGTCAAATTTTTTCGATATAAAAGTGCAGTGTACCCAGTAGGTTCTCTCTTGTTTGCAGGTTCATTGGGATGAACCCGCATCCATAGCAAGACCAGAAAGGGTCTCTCCTTGGGAGATAGAACCTTTTGTGCCTTCAATACCTACTAGCTTGGTGCCCCAAGTAGCAGGGGGGAAGAACAAAAGACTTCGATCGAATTCTGATGTTCCACTTCTCGGTGAGAAAGACTTCTTGCCAATTCAATCTTTTATTATGTTTTTGAAGTTCGCAATAATTTAGTGTATCTTTCATTGTTGATATGTATAGAAACGGCACCTTCTGCTGCATCAGCTGTTTGGCATCCTTCCCAAGATTCACCTTCAATGAATCAGAATCAAAATCATGACAGTAATTCCAGTCAGCTCCAAAGCAACAGAAATGGTAATAGTTTAAGAACCCATGCAGCAGATGGAGACTGGCTATCCTGCTCGAATGTGAATGCCCCTCCTCGGAGTATGTTGATCGACGAGACAGACACAAAAAGTCCTCTTGCTTGGCCCACATTCACTAGCAATTCAGTCACTACCCACCTGAATGATGGAAGGAAATCGGATACAATTGCTAGTTGTCGCTTGTTTGGTATTGATCTTATCATGGGTCCTTCAACTGGATTAGTCCCTGAAAAAGAGCATGCCAACACCCTAAGTTCCCCCAAGGAAGAGAGTTCACCAACTGCATTATCTGCTAGTGGTTCTGAGCATAATAAATCAGACCTCTCAAAGGATTCCAAAGATGTTGCCGCTGGGGCATTGCAGATTCCTTCAAAGGAAGTGCAAAGCAAGCAGAGTGGCTCGACGAGAAGTCGAACCAAGGTATTATTTGGGTGTTTTAGTGGATTTTGCGTTTATTAGATTTTTTTTTTTTTAAAAATTAAATTCAACGACATATGCCAATACCAAATTGTTTTCTTTTCTTTTTCCCTTTCCCTTCTCCCTCTGTTTAGGTTCAAATGCAAGGAGTTGCAGTGGGTCGCGCTGTCGACTTAACTATGTTGACGGGGTATGATCAGCTTATAGTCGAACTGGAAAAAATGTTTGAAATAAAGGGAGAGTTGAGCCCAAGAAACAAGTGGGAAATTGTTTTTACAGATGATGAAGGGGATATGATGCTTATGGGTGATGATCCTTGGCTGTAAGTTTTCCATTTATTATTCATCTTGATTTTTGAGTTCCGTATGATGTTGTCATAATCCTATATCGCCAACAGCACATAGTGGGTTGAATGCTAATTCCTTTCTTTTATTGGCAGTGAATTCTGTAAGATGGTTCGGCGAATTTTCATATGCTCTAGCCAGGATGTTAAAAAAATGAGAGCAGGAACTGGAAACATTCTTCCTCTAACCTCTTCAGATAATGAGGGAACTGCTGCATTCAACTCGGAAAGTGGTGAACTTGAGTAGAAAGAAAACCTTGCCTTTTGGTTCTAACGCCCCTCACAATCTTTTGCATTTTCCTTTCTTCTTTAGTATCCTTTTTCATGTGATTTCTCCCCTCTCGTATCTTGTTATTTTAGTCGTGGACGGGGGTGTGGAAGGTGGCGGTGATGGCAGAAAGGATTCTTTGAATGATCGGATTTAGTTTGACTAGAAAACGTGAACGCATTGTGGTGCAGGAGGGAGGAAATCCTTCATTGGAAATAACAATGATGAATGAAGTTACTTCTTAGTTAGTTCACTGCCCAGTTTTGACTGCAGTCCATAGTTCAAACCTGCGTTGAAGTTTGGAGTTTTAACTGGTATTGTACTTAGACCTAGGATCCAAATTGATGAAGGGGTAGGTTAGAAGTGTGTATAGTGAAAAAATGTTGTCGCGGGTGGATTTGGAATTGGTGCATCTGTAAATATATATCTATATAAGTATCAAGTGTGGCGTCGAATTCTTGTGTCAAATGATCTGGAAGTCTGAACGCTTTCTTTTGTAAGCTTTCTTTCTAATGCAACTAAGTTAATGCAATGCATTTGCCTTAGTCTGGTACTCCTGCTTGCACTGTCTTTCATTGCTCTCTTGTTTCAATTCTATGTATATCGGCTCCTCTGTTACAAACGTGACTCTCGTTTGATTCCTGTATACAAACGTAAATCTGTTTTGGATGCTAGATTGGTTGATGGTTTGTTTTGTTGTCGTTTGAAACAAACCCAAGGCTTGCATTCCTTTCCTATTTGTATAAGAAGACATTTACTCTAAAATTCCAATTTTTTTTTTATCATTATCAAAAATCGGTTTCCCCGTTGTTGTCTCAACTCTCAAATCTCAATGATGATACTCATCAAAAAGTCTGTTCCATTTGTTGTTTCTCATTTCTCAATCAAAACAGACTCTGAATCAAAATGCGGGAGGATGATGGTATCATAATAAAGAGATTCATAATCTCTAATCATAAGAAAAACAAGTTTTTTACCTCATTATATATGATTTCGGTTATATGAATCAACTGTACTCGTCGTGATCAGTCTCCAAGTCTTTGTAAATTGCAAAATGAGAAAGGGATCAAGTATCTTCACCCTTGTATGCCATGTTTATGATGCTTTGAATTTGATACTGTTGACCAAAGAAGACAAAACAAAACATTCATCCGATGACATGACATTAAAAGGGAAGATTCTAAAACAAAGGGGGGGTGGAAGATACCTTTTTTGGCGTTGGAGTTAACTTTCCTCTAAGACTAGGAAGAGGAAGAAGACCAGATCAGACAGGGTTGATTGATGGTGACATTTTTGGAACAAACTTAAAAGTTAATGTGTCAATTCAACGACCTTCTTATTTTATAAGCATGACCATAACAAGGGCAGAACAAATTTAATCCGTCCCTTAGTGAAAATAAAATCACCAGATTAGTCCATGGTATTTTTTCATAATACTCTATCCATCCCAAAATTATTGTCCAGTTTAAGATTTTATTTTTAGTATAATTTGAACTATAAATGAAAAATCAAACTGAACAATAATTATGGGACGTAGGGAGTATTTTTTTCGGACACTTACATTTGCTTCAAGAGATTGCCCCTCTTCATCAGCTTTACAAATGCGTAATTTTAGAATACAATTTTCCTCCCGAGAAAGGAAAATAAAAATCTTTTGCTCTATTTAATTTTATCCTTAGGGAAATAGAACATGCGCCTTTTTTAAGCGAGTGGTTTTCCACCAAAATCCTGATTAGTGGAAAAGAAAGACGAAACGTAAGCATTTTATGAGGAAAATAATCGAGATGGTGAATCAATCAAATAAAACGGTTCAATGATATACGAAAATATAAAATAACGAACACTTAATCTTAAAATGTTGAATACAACCAAGGGTTCATGTATCAGTGCCGGCCTTAGGGTAGGCTAGTAAAGTTTTAGGTTTAGGTCTCATATTATTTAGGACCTCATTTTTTAGAATTTTATTTACTATAATTATTTTTTGGATTTATTTTATTATAATTATTGAAAAGATAATAAAAAAAATATAATAACATAAATATTTTTGACATGTAAAATATGTTGTATTTCCGTTATCTTTTAAAGTTATTTGTATAGAAAATTTAAAATTTTTTAATAAAAATTTTATTTATCTAAGTTCGACTACTGAAGGCCCAAATTGAAATTTAGCTTGAGCCCTCAACATGGTTGAGCCAGCTTTGTCATGTATATATATTTACTTTCTCTACTCTATATCATTACTCATTTAGTAAATCTGATGTGTTAGAAGAAACAATTTTAACTACTTGGAAATACAGACAAAAGGGTGGACATCATCACTAACATTTCAAAGTTGGTAGGCCAAAAATCTGTGTCCTGCGGGTTATGTGACCATGGTTTTCACTTGACCTACATTGACTTCCAATGTCAATCAGATCATGACCATAACTTTTTGTGACGAAGACACAGTTTACTGTAACATTTCTAAGAAGATGGAAAGAAAAGTGGATTTATTATTGGAATTTGTTGGTTTATTTGGTTTGGCTGCCGGCCTGCCGTATTGCAGGATCCTCTAGCAAGAAAATTTGCACCATGTTTTACCTTGTAGGCTTCCAGAAGCTGACTCCATATTGGCCCTTAATTGATTTCTTTTTCCTCTTTAATTGATTAATTATTTTTCCTGTCTTCTTTTTTGATGTTCTTTATTGAAAAAACCGAAAATCACACGTGTGCAGAATAAGAACAATCCCAAATTCAGCCTCAAGTCATGGAGATTTTTGGTTTGTAATTCAACTTATGATTTGTCGGTAAATAGTCCAATATTTTTGCAATATTCGACTATAATATTTGAAAATCGCCGTCAATTCTCCACCTCTTCGTGGAAAGGGATTTTTAAATTGTTTTTTCTTCTTATGCTCTCTTATTGAGGAAAAAAAGATGGCATATGGAGCTTTGGGGTTTGTTTTTCAGGTGTTTAATTTGGTTTGGGAGCTTGGCGGCCGTCACGTTATAATTAAGATTAATAGTCAATGTGTTTTGTCCACTCCGTAGTGCATGGAAGTGAGGAGGAGTTGGGCATCCATACAAGCTTGGTAAGTAGTACTCGCGAGTTCGTACAGAGGCCTTAAAATGTGAAGGGATACAACCATAAGGAGGCTAATTTTGTAGCGGATTGTTGGTAATCATTGTCTCTTGGAGTTTGCAGGGGTATAATGACTTCTGTTCCCGTTATATGAGATTAACTGAGGCTGGACTTATATGTTTCCTATTCAGGCAAGGTTTTAATTTCTCATAATTAGGCTATGCATGTCTCATTGTGCCTAAAGAAACACAATTAGTCTTTCAATTTTATTTACATATTTATTTTTAGCACTCTGTTTGTTTGAAAAAAAAAGAAAGAATCAAAGGTATATTTACCATTGTTGATCATCAAATTAAATAAAGCTAATGAAATATGCAATATATATATAAATATATATATATATATATAATATTACATTTTTTTAGCATCAAAAATGAAAAAATGAGCATATCTTACATATATATGAAAGGAATTTTGATAAAGGGACACATGTCTTTCAATTAGAATATTAATATGTTTCACGGTAAAAATTAAAGAGTAAAATAGTGATTATTTTGTGTTTATTATTTATCTAAGTTTAAATGATAAAATATTTTCTTGCTTTTTGTTTATTATTTACTTTAAATTGCCTAATTCTAATTCACATCAACTTTTTCTAAAAGAAGATCTGAACTGATAATATTTTCAGCGTTTCTCTATGATTCCGGCCATATCACCTGCACCAATGGTTGCTACTAATATCTCCGACAATGATACATTCGAAGACTCGCCGGAAATCATTCTCTTGCTATAGTTTTATAGATGAAATCAATCAAAAACGATCCGGTCACCATTGATCTTTGCTCCGCCCACGCTCCATTCTTGAATCTGTGTTCTTTATATTCTCTTTTTTTTTTTTCGGATACAAAGTTGAAGCGACAGTGTGGCGCGAACTCGTTTTTTTTCAATTGTGTAATCGTGATTCATCATGAATTCCTTTATCATCGTTCCCCGCATTTGATTCTGCCGCTCTTGGTATAAGAATAAAGCTCATAGATGCGCGATTTAGGAATGAAGCGGATTTACTGATGCATTAGGGGGTTAATGGAGTTTTTTTTCGTGATTTTGGTGCGTGAGGTGATGAAAGTGAAGGGTGGTGATGCATAAGTGGATAGGATATGGAGGATTAGAGTCATGGCACGATAGGTGAGGGAGAAAAAAATTGAGTGATTGTTATTTTATCATAAACTTAAAATTTAAGTTATCAAAAGATCTTATCGGATATACTTTAATGAATGATACAAATTTACAATTTAAAATAATAATAAAAATATTGAAAAGATAAGTAAGTATTTGAATAACAATAAATATAATCTATTACCAAGATTTTAGAATTTACTACCTATCTAATTACTTTGTTAAAAAGGAAACTTCGATATTGAATTCACTTTAAATCACCCTTTATCTCATGACTCTATCGTCGATCACCCTTTACCTCATGGCTCTATCGTCTCTTCTCCCTCTGCTTCAATCATCTCCCAAAGCAACCATCACCGCGCTACCATCCGAAAATGGCCGACTAATCACGCATTTCTGTTTAGTTTTGCTTAATCCGAATCAAATATGATTTTTTTTTTTTTGGGGATCAAAGCCACTAAGGAATAGATGGATGAGCAGCGAATTGCATATGTATGCTATACAAAGGATAATCTTAGACAACTCATACATCACATATTCAATTTCATAAGTTTTCGTTTATTGACATATAATCACGATGGCGAGAAAGCTCAATAAGTTGATCGATGGTGTTGGTGAGAAAGCTCAATGCTTTTGAGATCGTTACTTTTTGAATTCGTTGATTGTGGTATTGAAGTGAATTTGGATATATTGTAGTATCTTTTTTTTTTTTAAGGTTGTCAAAAAATGATTTTGGTGAATGAAAGTAGGCGTTTTTCTAGATTTTTACAGAATCGATGAATTCTTTTGCCGATCTCTGTCTTTTTTTGAACTTTGTATTGGAGTTCATTTTTTGTCGATTTCATAAGAAATAAGGTATTAAATGAAATTTCTACATTTTTTAGTAATCATGTCAGGCTTTGTTGATAAGCATAACTACATTTTCGTGGTTTTGGAAATTTAAGAACCTCATATCAGAAGAATGATTGAAATATGCCTGATATTTGATGGTCTTTGGCACCGTTGACGACTCAATCTTGGGCTGACGTGGCTAAAGAACATGATGATAGTTATACATATTGACGATAATTTAAATTTTTTTTCTTGCTTATAAAATTCATAATTAAAAAATTTAATTATAGGTATAATTACTTTTATCTGATCAACATCCCATACATTAAAATTATTCCATTTTCAAATTTTGAACGATGGGATAAATAAGGAAAAAATATATATCATTGTAAAATCAAATTTGATTTGAACTTTGATTTTTATTGATTCAATCGGAAAATTATCTTATTTGATTTAATTTCTTCTCCACAAAAATATAGCATTTCAAGGTTTTAAAAAACAGGGGACAAATCACTTTAAAAGGACAACTAAATCAAAATTAACCATCAAATTTCTGTTAAAATAAATTTTCTTTCATCATTTTACTTCCTCTCTCCCGTACAAATCAACGTATACAATCATCTCCCAAAACAAACTTGCTGGTGTAATATAAATTTTTTTTTATTTGAAATATTGAATTTACATAAAATATTGTCCTAAAACACCTAAACAAAAAAGAATCTACAAAAAAACAAAGACTTATATTTAATATATACGTATACACATGAAAAATAGAATCTCAGAGCCAAACCGAGATACAAAATTAAATATACCAAAAAGTACACTGAACTATTAGTAATAGTATTATTTGCAAGCTATACAACTCTCTTCTGAATTGATATATTCTTTGAATCATTAAACTAATTTATAATATATTATATAACCCGCACATTTTGCCGGGTTAGTACTAGTAAGTGGAAGAAAGGAATACTGAAAATAATCATTTCTCACAGAAGCAGTCAAATTGCTATGGACACTTGAAACATTCCGAGTTCCGACATCGTTCAGGTCTAACTCTAAGGATGCGCTTGTTCTGGTTTGATATTGGATTTTATGGACGTGGGACAGTGATTAATAAAATGAGACCCATTAAACTTAACTCAGTCCAGTTCAATCACAAAAGATTACCAACTCTATTGGCCAATATTAACAACATATTTATGGACTTAATGCATAAAACATTGCGAAATTCTAAAAAATTAATCAATGTTATTTTTGATGATTAAAAAAAAATAAAAATCAATGTTGTGTGTTCACGATCCACATTGTTTGATATGCATATATTAAAAACAAATTAATCAGTAAATTTTGTTTTGATTTGAAGGTCAGTCGTCAAGAATACACAATATTCTTTTTGGTTTTTTTGGGTAAACAATATTCTTTTAATACATCCAAAATTTGGATGATTGTTTTGAGAATTGCATCCGGGATTTGTCACCCTTTAATGTGTAGTTGCGAACATGGAAATTGTATTTATAAGTTATGAAATTTTTCCAGTGAAATGTTTTTTTCGGGGAACAGGTTCCAATGAAATGTCAAGTAGTTTATTTACACTAAATTTATAAATTCACAAAAGCAAAAATTTCTTAATTCTTTCCTTTTAATTAGTTTCAAAACACTGAAAAATTATGCAAAATTGTAATTTATTTAAGAAACAAAGTTTCATATTTCTTAACTCTCGAGAGATTGTTTTTTTTTAATATTTAATACGGAACATAGGACAATCATTTTCTGAAGAAAGAGAGTAGCTTATAATAAAATACTTCCTTTTGACACCAAACTAGAGCTAAAGTATTTGTAATCTAACATGTGAAGGAAGAACTCGCGGAAGTTGCTGCTGGGCACACCTCCGAGCATCATTTGTTATCTCTGTGCTTCTCGACCACAAATCTCAAAATCGTTGTACCCCAAATAGATTGGTAACGTGGATCAACAATTATCTTCTCTAGGCAATTTGCATTCTTGATCAAGTACATCAAAATTTCCAATTCAATTGTATGACCACGATACCCAGATATCTCAACAACCCGAAGATGCTGGACACATTTCCGACTCAATGCCAGTGCTGCTAAGTTTTTCCAACGGGTATTTCAACTGCGCGCACACACACACAGAAAATAACAAAATAAAAATTGAAAAAAAAAAGCTGAATTACTGGTTCACTTCAATACAATAATATTCCAAAATTGGAACCTGAATGGATCAGAGCAAAAACATCAAATTTAAAAGAATAATTACTATGAACAATTACTTTTATTAAGGAAAAAGATAAATATGTAGCGTACTAATACCTTAGCAACAAACTTCTCCAGGTTTGGTGATGCTCTAAAGAAGGAATCCAAACAAACCAACAATCCAAATGTGCTCTCTCCTTGGTACAGATAAAGTTCTATAAGTAACTGCTTCAACGCATGTGGCTGAGGAAGTTTCCCTTCATACTAAGAAGGCAAAATCAAAACATGGTCGGCAAAATCAATAAATACAACTGACAAGTCATCAAATTCCATAGAGCAAAACAAGGGAAAAGAAATTTACCAAATAACACAATGAGCATGATGCATACCTCTCTAGTCTTCTCAATATTCAGAGCCAAGGAAAGAACCTCCAGTTCAGAAAAGCAGCACCAAAGCCGGTGAAAAAGGTCCTCCACATTGTAACGAACATTGGTAATGTGAATATGCACGAGCCGTGGGACATTATCAAGCACTAATACTTTTGGCACCCCAACGCTCAGGGAGATAAGATTATAGGCATCGCACACGATGAGTTTTTTCAAGGGACAAAAGCAAATTTCCAGGTGTTGCAACGCAATGGTTGGACCACAAACCTCTAAAGTTGATAAATAAGAAGAGCAATGCACCACCAAACTTTCAAGAAATTTACAGTTGTGCAAAAAAAATTCAAGATCAGCCCCAGAGATTAGGACACGCTTCAAAATCAATACTTTAAGAGAATTCCAAAATCTGTGTCCAAGACATGGCGAAGGAAAAACACAATTACCAAATGCAGGGAGAAAACCAGGCCCATGCTGGGAAAGGCTAACTTCCAGCCTTTCTACTCTCTTATCAAAGGCATACTGAAGCCACTTAGTAATATCAGCCCCAAAAGAATCATCCAGATCAGTATAAACTCTGAACTTATTCAGATCCAAGGTCTGATGGAACTCTAGCACCTGATTTACCCAATTAACAAACTTGCACCTCTCCCTTTTAAGGGAAATCACGTACTCCTCCCTCGTCACTGCCTTGCATAATGCAGATATTGCATTAAAATCAAGTGCAGGAACATATTTCCACAAATGCTTCCATCTTTCTGACAGAACACTTGTTCTGCCAGCTTCTTTGAGACTCAAAAAGGATAAGATACAACAAATGACTTCATTGGGAAGCTGACTGATCCAATCTTTACTTATATGCTGTTCGAGGAATGTTACCAAAGAATCAACTCTAAGAATAAAATGAAACAAATAGAACAAGAGACATTGGAAGGAAGAAAATAAAGGCAGAGCAACAAACCGCATGTAATTCAACAAATTCATTGAAAATTTTGAATTCTCCTGGAGAACGACGAAGAACAAGAGTCAAACAAAAAGAAAAACAAAAAAAGTCGGGAAATTTTCTGGAAAAAGATCAATTTAAAACTGAGACGCGAAACTAAAAAACAGCAATAACACAGCCCTGGGAAAAAAATTATTCAACAAATTCAATTAATAGAAACGAAACATCTAAAACGGGTCAGGAGAGCAGCAATAGACAACAAAGCGATAAACTAACGACTAAAACAACAAAGCGAGAAGGCTTACCACAACAAGATCCCCAATCAAGTTCAAATCTTCATCCATCCGACTGTCGAGAACGACTTACTGATACCGGACTGCCGACAACCAAATTGACGATGGAGGACCGCGAACTGCCGACTTATTTATTTACTCTAATCTCTTATTCCACCGAGAGAATGTCATTCGATCGGATCTGATCTCCGTTAGTCTATTTTTCATCTGTAGAGGTAATGGATGCAATTACAACCTTATTATTAAGAATATAAGAAAAGAATGCAAACCTCCCAGCGCCGTAGCAGCAGCATCAAAAATAACGAAAGATGTGCCACTTAAAAAAAGTATAACGGTATGTTTGTTTGGTTTTTTTAGTGTGTGTTTTTAGATGTTTTTTGTATTGGGAATGTAAAAAAGTGTATTGGAAATATAAAAAGATATGTTGAGATGACACAGTTAATAATATAATAATTTTAAAAAAAAACCATCTAAAAATTGAAACAAACAAAAAGTTGGAGATGGAGAGGAAACCTAAGTGCAGAAAGACCTTACCCTACTTGTAACTAAAAATTGGGCTCAATAGCGCATTATGAAACCACAAAAAAGAAAAAAAAAAAATCCTAAATATCGCTTCTGCGTGCATTACACTCGCGCGGACCACCCTTACCTACGGCTAAACGAGCCGAGTCGAGCTCGAGTTTACCCCAATTCGACGAGATGCAGTTCAGTACAGAATACAATAAAGATATGATCCAAAGGCTGTTATGGGTAATAAGGCCATATTGATGCGGCCATCTGCCGGCTATATATATCTATCACGTCCAATTCGGAAAACCCTAGAAGAACGGTTGCTCAAGAGAAGGAGATGGCGTCGGCGGAGTTAATCGCTTACATATACGTCGTAAGGTTGGAAGCGGCGGTTGAGATGAAAGATGAGAGGCACGACAAATTATGGATGAATCTAAAGTTGATAGCAAGGAAGGTGTGTTCTCTTTTATAAGCAAAATGGGAGCCTTGGTTCAACAGATTCCAGTGCTCCAATCCATGGTCCCGGAAGAGGGTATACCTCATGTCAAACAACAATTGCTGAATTGCACCCAAATCTGCGTCACTAATCCACTCGAGTTTGATGCATTTGTTCATACCCGTGAGAGGAATCCAGATTGGTCTCCTTCCGTGAAGGTCTTGGCCGCCGGCTTCGACCTCATTCGTATTGAGGGCATGAGGGCTTATTTTGCTCTCAATCAGATCGAGCATATTCTGTTTAATTGGTTTGTAAAGTTCGATTTTTTTTTAAAAATTATTTATTTATTTAATTTTTTTTTTTTTTGGTTTATCTTAGTTGTTCTTCCCCTTCCGTCTTTCAGATGAGTTTACTTTCTTCGGTGGTTGGTGGCTTTTCGTTTCTCTTAGGTTCGTGATTTCTGATGACAGTTTTTTTATGGTTATGTTATACTCCCTCTATGTTATAATTCACAAATTTGAAACTCAGTGCTAATTTGTGCCTTATAGTTTAAACAGCTCCATAACGAGGTGTCAGCCTTTTGCTTGTTCTGTTTTGCAGTCGGCGGGGTAGGGGCAAAGCTCGTTAGACTAGTTTTGGGGACGAATTGCAGGAGATATGTTCTGTGATATAGCATTAACTGGGAACTTTCTTGGAATTTAATAACGTGGGGGATTTGTCGCTGCTGCCTCCTCTCTGTTCCTTCGACTGTGTTGGAATTGTGTACCGTACTATAGCATTGTACTATAGCATTGTATTCCCAGATATGTCTTTACATTAAAGAATGTTTACATGTTTATGGATATAAATGGATTTCTCCTTATAGCGCAATGTGTAGCGCTGAGCATAACTTGTGCCTGTATCAAGGTGCTTCTATGGAACTTTTGAGTGATGATCTTAAGAGGTGCTTCTATGGAACTTTTTGACTGGTGATTTTTATTAGATTGTAAGCTTTGGTGGTTTTTATTAGATTGCAAGCTTTGCCTATGTTTGGCTGATAACGAGATAATTCTGTTACTGACTAATTTGTGTCAAGAAATAGATTAGGAGCTTAGTGTTTTTTTTTTTTTTTTTTTTTATCTGCTCTCATCATGCCTTCTTCAAATCATCAGCCCACGCAAGTGCAGACAAATCAGAAGTTGCGGAATCTGAACCAGTCATCTGTTCAGAGTGTCCCAGCAAAATCGACACATGAATTCCCACCTATCTAGCAAGCTGCAGGGAGGGGAAACTCAATCAAGCCAGAACTCTACATCTAATTCATCTCACACTAGAAATTTTTGTGTCCATATTTGATTTTTTATTTTGCAGAATATAATGTAAAGTTAGCACTCAAGAAAGTGTTCTCTCTAAGTGAAAATTAATCTTTCCAACTCTTATTTAATTATCATAGCAAAACAAAGAACGAATGAGATTTGTCTTCAATTCTGTCTAAATGTGAACGTTTTGTCTATTAGAGCATATACAATTCAAAAGATGAATATTTGTTCTTTCCAATACAGTTTGTATAGGAAAATTACCAATTTTGAAAACTTGTAAGCTTGTACGATACACAAACCACAAACCACAATATGGGCAGTATGTTGCTTGAGTTGTCATAGTTTTTGAGTCATAAATATCGAATGATATTAAGATAATTGGTTCCTTAAAAGCAAAAGACAACTATAAAAAAAGTAAATTTTAAAAAAATGCAACTTAAAGAAAAGGATGAAATTAGATTTTTAAAAAATAAAAAATCGATGATGGAACAGACATAAAAATTTGATTTAGATTTCAAAAAATAAATTACGGGCATGTGCTGGAAAATGTTTTAAAATTATAATTTATGCCATTTTCATCAGAATATCTAAAAAATATATCAAAGGCATGGTAATGAATAAGAATAGACATAAATAATACAATGAGAAAAAAAATCCAGTATTTTTTCTAAATCTTATCAAAGCATGTGACTAAATATACTTGAATCATATTCATTACAAAATATTCACATTCTGAATGTTGTACCATACATCTTTTCTAATTTCTTTTTGTTCATTAAATATCAAAATTTATCTATTTACATGATTTTTTCGTAGATAAAACGTGAAGTTAATTCCAAAAAGTGCATCAATGCCTGTACGATAAAATATTTTAAATATAATTTATATCAAAATTTTGGTAAAAAAAAAAAAATCTTAAAAATGCAATTCGCACATTGACATGAATGAGAACAACTATACGAAGATAATGAATTATTTTTTTGGTTGAAAAATTCAATTATTTTGATTCTCAAACTTTTCAAATCATAAGATTATGTAACCTTATTTGAAAACATATATCATTGTTTAATGCTTGCAACGCGGATATTCTAATATTCATTCCTTAAAAGAAATGACCCATGCACTTGCAAATGAAAACTGTTAAAAAAATGATCCCCGTATTTTTTATTAATTAATTATTTTCTTTTTATTTTCATAGTTACTAACATCCTAACCCACCACTGAATTATCCGCAAGGGTCACGTTTCGAAACCCTTTATAAATGATGTTTTAGCTAACGACCTCTCACACTACAATCTTATAGCACTTCGTAAACTAACACATAAAAACTGTTACATTTTTATAGTTAATTATTACTTTACTTTTTAATATACTATATACTATTGGATGAACCTGTCGGGATCATTTGTCAACCTCATAATTAAAGGATGCTTGACTAAAGATATCCTACACTAAAATCCTAGAAAACTTCTTAAACCACCTGATAAAATTTGTCACATTTCTTCATTTAATAATTATTTTCCTTTTTTGTAATTTACAATTATACTTTAGCCAAACATTGGATAAACCCTTCAAGGCCCTCCAACACTTGAAAATGAAAATCGTTAAGCAAATGACTCCTGTATTTTTTTTTATATAGAAAAATTACTTTTCATTTTTAAAATTTTTACTAATGTCCTAACCCACCTTTGGATCAACCTATCAAAGCTATCTGTCAAAATTTTAAATCAATGACATTTTTGCTAAGGATCCCAAGCACAACAACCTTATAACACTTCGTAAACTAAAATGTATAATTTGTCGCATTTTTCTAGTTAATCATTATTTTACTTTTTTAAATATTATACTAACACCCTAACCCACCATTGGATGAATCCATCATGCTCATTTGTACAAATCATAATCAAATGATACTTGGCTAAGGAAATCATACACTACAATCTTGCAACACTTGTTACAACACTATATAAAATTCGCCACTTTTAATTATTTAATAATTATTTTCCATTTTATAATTTTTAATCACACCTTAGCCTACCGTTAGATGGACACCCCAAGCCCTCTGTTATGCAAATGACCCCTGCACTTGCAAATGAAAATGTTTAAGCAAATGACCCTTGCATTTTTTTATTGAATATTTTATTTTTTTAAAAAAAATTTGGTTAACACCATAACCCACCATTGAATGATTCCTTTGGGGCTATGTGTCAAAATTTTATATAAATGATGTTTTGGCTGACAATCTCCTACATTACAATCTTATAACATTTTGTAAACTAACATATAATAAATTGTCGCATTTTTCTAGTTAATTATTATTTTGTTTCTCAATATTATACTAAAATCCTAACCCACCAATACATGAACTCGTCAGTTTCATTAGTCAATATCATAATTAAATGATGATTGGCTGAAAAAATCATACACTACAATTCTACAACACTTGTTAAACCATCACATAAAGTTTGCCACATTTTTTATTTAATAATTATTTTCATTTTTTAAAATTTTTTATTACACCCTAACTCACTATTGGATGAACCCGTCAAACCTCCAATTAATTAAATGACCCCTGCACTTGCAAATTAAACTTGTTAAGCAAATGACCCATCTATTTTTTTTTTCAATTGAATAATTATTATCTCTTTTTTTTAATAGTTACTAACACCCTAACCCACCAATGGATTATCTCGCAAGGGCCACATGTCAAAATTTTATATAAATGATGTTTTGGCTAATGATCTCCAACACTACAATTTTATAACACTTCGTAAGCTAATATATAAAAATTCTTGCATTTTTCTAGATAATTATTACTTTAATTTTTTAAATACTCACCATTGGATGAACCGTGAGGGTCATTTATCAAAATCATTACTAAATTATATTTGGCTAAGAATATTATACATTATGATGCTACAGCACTCGTTAAACTACCATATAAAATTTGTCACATTTGTTAATTTAATAATTATTTTTCCTTTTATTTAAATTTTAATTGTACCCTAACTCACTATTAAATGAACCCGTCAACTAGCCTATTAAGTAAATGAATTATGCACTCGCCAATGAAAATTGTTAAGTAAATGACCCCTTCATTTTTTTATTGAATAATTATTTTCCTTTCTTTAATTTTTTCTAATACCCTAACCTACCATTGGATTAATTCACTACAACAAAAATGAGTAGTTTAGACACTTTTTTGTGTCTCAATAAGTGGTGTAATACGACACATGTGACTCAAATTGCGTGGGACACTACTAAATAGTGTCTCCTATAATCGAGTCACAATAAGTCATAAAACATTTGAAAGTGTATTATTAGATTGTCACTCATTAACATACTTTAAAGTGACCCATTAAGTAAGGTAATAGTTCATAAGCAACCCCAAATAGTACACTTATGATAGTGTTTCATAATATGAATATACTTTTTCATTTTCAATGAGACACTTTTTAGCAAATGTCCCAATACACATATAATAAGACACATTTTAGGAAAAGTGTCCCACCATAAAGGTATTAATAGCCTATTTTTGTTGTAATGATTATATCGGGGCCATGTGTCAATTAATATGAATGATGTTTTGATTAACAATCTCCTACATTATAATCTTATAACATTTTGTACATTAACTAGTTCGTTGTAGTCGCGCGTTGCGCTATCAGTTTGTATTTGTAGTTTATTTGAAATAAATTTTCGGATTGATAATCTTATAACTGGTTGTAATATGTATTAATACAACCACCTGGGAAATGTTGAGTATATGATAGATTCTGCCAGTTTGCACAAAATATTTATGTGGTGACTAACCTGCATTCAGTCATTGGTTGTTCATATGATTAAAATGTATCATAAATTTGAGTAACAAATACATTGGACAACTTTGCCAAATTCATAATCGATCAAACAGAAAAAATTTATGCAATATCATCTTCCACTCTGATTAGCACATACATTTGTTTATATAACAAATGAACCCCATGATCTTGTGGTTCTTTTACTTAAAGATGTACATCGAAGTTAAACATTTGATGAGAATTATTTATTATGTGCTCAAGTTCCTTTTTTCTGTTTCTTCTCTTGCCATGCTTTGCGTCCAACATCAATCCTTGGCTTTGCTCAAACATTGGAACGCAGCTTTGTTTCAAGTATAATGCCAAATTTAAAGCAAGCATTCTAAGTACAAGAAACATAATTCGAGACTAAAATCCCGCTGTATACATTGAGACTGAGGAAATAAACCATTGCAAATGCTTTTATCCTCATTTTAGCTCCAAAGGAAGATTCCTTCCTACTTATTTAGGGATCTATGACAAATGATCAGCTGGAAAGAAATAGTACATACAAACCAGAAAGAAATCTCTTTATCTCAGACATCAGGCAGAGTTGGAGCAGCAACAGTTATGAGCCAACTGGATTTCCAAAGAGAGATACGGTGTCTAAAATATTCCAATAGAAATAACCCACACCAACACCGATACAAGGTCAAAACCTATATAAGGTCTCTCACGACAGTGATACAAGGTCTCTCACGATACCGATGTAAGACATATATAATTTGGGATTTCATCATCGATAATTTAGTAATTCAGGTATGCTCAAAACCTATTAATTTAAACTTTCAGGTCATATATTGTTTTTTTTTTTAATTTTTTCCAGAATATTTGTGGGAAAAAAAAATACCTGGCAAGAAATTGTCAGCAAATAAGAAAATAAATCAACAAACCATTTGCAGAAAGTATTGGAAAATCCTAAGCATTATCTTAATTTGGTGGAAAGGGATACTCCTTGACATAACTCTTGCAGTTTGGCTGATGAAACCATCAAACAACTTGAAGGAAATAGCTGACTCTTTTTAAACCTTACATTGAAAAGGAAAAATCCAAGACTCCAAATGCTTATCATCATGATCATCGCAGTTAAGCATTAATGTTGCTAATATTTCCAAGAGAAATAATTTCTCAATATTACAACAACACGATAGGGATCGTATCCAATTGAATGGTGTACCCAGGGACCATGAAAATTGTAGACTTGATCAAATGCGTGTTAGTGTTGTTTAGTGTTCCACGTTCTTCATATACGAATAATTTGTGTGATTTGTTTTGTCCTGAGATAATGAATCCTAACACGTATAGTGAGATTTTTGAGTGAATCTCTATAAAATTCAGGATCAAATCACATAGGGATCGGGGGTTTTTTTTTGCCGGGGGATAGTAATAAATATTTGCTTATCCAATATTATACTCCATGAAGAATGTGTTTAAATGGACCTTTAAATTGAGTACAATAATAATCACACATACACACTGAATCATACAATTACAGGTTACAGTCTTATTAATTATGCACCAAATATAATACTACCTCTGTCCTTAAAAAATAATCCACGTTGAGTTTTTAAATTTATATTAAAAATAATATAAAACTAAAAACTCAATGTGAATTATTTTTTTGGAACGGAGGGAGTATTTGAAAAAGATAGGACACTATCATTAATGTTGAAAAAAAGTTCGTAAGGGTACAGCAACTAATAGCCATGCATTTTTTCCTCAATCAATATTCAATAAGACCACATCGATCTATATTATATTCGGTTATACACACCAACCACAATCTATATGCGGAATCAATTAAATCTGATAGTTAGTCCAATCTCCTACATGAAATGTACTAATAAATACGATGTCGAAATCTTTAAATAATGTAGACAACAATTTTGCATGCTGGGGCTATTTTTAATTTTCCACGTTATTAAGAAGGTCGAGTATGCAACTTGGTATGAGCCTCGGTTGTGGACAAAACAGTAGATACTGAAATGTTTCAATGACTTGATGTATAACGTATGAACTTAAGCTTATAAAAAAGGGGAAAAAATGACGAGTATTTGTATCTTTTATGTATACCACATGTTAGCTTCTGAGTCCTGCATGTTCAGTAATGAATTTACCGTGTGTTGTACGTACGCCCTAATGAATGTATACATCCGTGTGGCCGTCCATTATTATATGGGGCAACTTGAACTCTGACGCCCAATAATTTGAGGACTCCATAAAATTTAGAGTTTGCGCCTGAAAATATTCATTTGAAACTTATTCGTTCTAAAATGATTATTCAATTGGAATTATTAATTTTTAGAATAAATTGAGCTAAAGTGAATAATCAATTTTAATAATTATTTTGGGACGAAAAAAAAATATAGTTGCCCATAATTTTGCAAAGAGATTCACTGATATTATTGATGTTAGTTACTAAGAATTTAGAAGATATCTTAAGAAGAATAATGTTCAATTGGAGTTGCGAACTCAGAACCAGCATACAGTAGAATGTCGATAATTAATAATCTATAAATAGGAATTAAGATCGATAAAATGATAAGATAATAATATTTTCAATAATTCTCTATATATCTATAGGTCCTAACAATACTATAAATTAATAAATACTGCAAATGAAAAAAAAAATAATAACTATAAACTTTCAATAAAATATGAACTATTGATACTTGCTTTTTGATCCTTGAAAATGATATGGAATATGTATGGAGTTTTAGTATTCAGAAAAGTTTTAATACTTGATTGTTTTGGATATAAAGAAAATCACAAATTAAGAAATTTAGTGAGGTTCTTTCTTTTTCAAAGAAATTTTTTAAATTAATAATTTATTAATTTATCGATTATTTATAATGATTCTCTAAATTAATAAATTTTGGTGGTCCCGACATTATTAATTTATAGAATTTCTATTATATATATATATATATAGTACTTCAACATGCTTTACATTGGAATCTTTCAATGGCACCTCGTAAAAATTATTCTCTTATTTGTTTTATTATGTAATTTGGTACTGTGAACAACAATTGTTGACAATGCCTGAATGTGCAAGCATGATAAGGAAATTTGGAATCAAAATTATGCCATCATGGTGTTGTCTTTTGTGTTGGTGAAGAAAATGGATTGACCATACTTTCTTTGGTTCTGTTAGAGAGCAAGGCAGCTGGTTCCGGATTATTTTTTCTGCATTACTCTGGCTTTTACTTACCATATCCTGCAGGATTGTGGTCCTATTCACAAGCTTGGTATACGTTTTGGAAGTCTATTAACGTCTTTTAAATCTACCATAATGCTTATTAATTAATTCCTATTTTCATCCTCTAGAAAGCAAGAAACAAATTGTACTACCATGAAGTAAAAGCTCTAGTTGCAGAATGTCTTTACGATACAATTGTAGATTGTATAGATGTGGATGCGGTACTACCATGTACAAACTCCATTCCAATGGAGGAATTTTCAGCTAGCAGATTGTATACACATTTTCAAATCTTTTTTTAATTAGTTATTTTATTCAATTTTTTTTTTTTTGAAAAGGATATTTATTCAATTTCGAATCATAGGAGATCTGCCAGGGCGAACTCGTGGACTATATATTAGCTAGCTTTGGACCAGCAATAGTTTCCAATTCCATTTTTTGCCTGTGTAACAGGACTCATTTTTTAACGAAATTTTAGATTTTCTTTTGGGCATGAATCAATACGAAATGTACCTAGTAAAACTTTCTCTTCCCTAAAAGCATTGGTATTTCTTTTTCATTATTAAAAATATAAAAGGATAATGATTCATACATGCAAGTTTTACAAGAAATTTTAATTAAGAATGAATAATAATGGTCCATACTTGTAACTTTCCTTTAGAGATTTATCGATTTAATGGTTAAGGACTTAAGGGATAGTTAAAATACTAGAATATGCTTACATGTATACTGCCTTGGTTAACTTAACATTCATAAAATAATACAACAAACATGAAAATTATTCATAAACTAAAATTATAAATTTCTATGATATGCATGGACTCGTCATTAGTGGTACTAAAGACTCTGTCGTTTTAATTCTATTAGAATTTGTCTTTTCTTTTGTACCAAAAACGAAAATTCTGTTTGTCTACACGTTTATCTTTGAAATACACACACGATTACTACTCAATTAAATGAACTATATTATAATGATCTTATTGTTTTGTTTAGAAGAAAATATTTTTTTTTTTTGAAATTGTACCATACGTAGTGCTCTACTATTTGCTAATTTGCAATAGATTCTTTTTAAAATTGTACCATACGTAGTGCTCATGACATGCAAAGAAAAAATTAATTCACATGCACGTATATGACATCAATTTTTCCGACCCTTGTAAGTTGTAAAACTACGAGTAACCATTTAATCCCACCTCATTGATTCGTTGTTTTCAGAAATTACAAATCAGAAGGTCTATAAATAGTAAATGATTCACTGGCCACAAATGCCGCCTTAGCTTAGCTAAACAAGAAAACAAAATCGACAATGGCGACTACTCATACTGCCAGCCCCGCCGGAAAACCCAAACTCCACTCTCAAAGGAAGCTCCGCCGGACATATTTCAACCGGGCATTCGCCGCCGTTTACTCACTAGCCATCTTAGCTCTAGTCTACCACCATGTACTCGCCCTCATCCAATCCAAATCCTTCTTATCCTTCTCCATCTCCATTTCCATGCTATTTGCCGACCTCATACTGGCTTTCATGTGGACCACAACTCAGTCGTATCACATGAACCCTATAGTCCGACAAGTTTACTTAGAAAACCTTGAAAAGGTGATCACTTCCAAGGAGGATTTTCCGGGTCTGGATATTTTCATTTGCACGGCTGACCCGTATAAAGAGCCGCCTTTGGGCGTGGTGAACACCGCCTTGTCAGTGATGGCGTATGATTATCCGCCGGAAAAGTTGTCCGTTTATGTGTCGGACGATGGAGGGTCGGAGTTGACTTTGTTTGCTTTCATGGAGGCTGCTAAGTTTGGAAGGTCTTGGCTGCCTTTTTGTAAACAAAATAATATTGTGGACAGATGCCCTGATGCTTATTTCAAGTCGGCTTATTCTTCCAGTTCTGAGACTCAAAACATCAAGGTAACAAAAAAACACTACTAGATTGAATTTATTTTTTAAGATATTTTGAGCTTCATACATGAACACTAATAAAATCATGATAATTCCATTATACTTTTCAAAAGCATGTAAACTATTGTGTTTCTGGATTCCATCAACTATGAGTTTGTTGCTTCTTTTGTATATCACTCCCCAAGTTTGTTCTTCTTCTTCTTCTTCTTATTATTATTATTATTATTATTATTATTATTATTATTTTAAATAGCCTAATCGAGATTTGAACCTTCGTCCAAGTTATAATGATAATCCACCCTCATCATTAAAGTTTGCACCATTTTTTTCTCTATCATTAAAATCTTAAGAACGGGAGGGGGGACAGCTGGTTTTCTCCATCCACATATAAAGCCCCTTAATTAGGAATATACAAAAAAGCAATCTTGTATTTTTCAAATTAATGTCTTTTATCTGAAATTTGATTCCATCCATCCATAAGAACGAGAAACTAAGTCAGACCTTATTATTATTTTCTAAAGAATTTTTTACATTCTTGAATGATTAATTGTTGCACCAATATAGTAGAAAATGACCAGACATGTGTACTGTATGGAACAAGGCACATAGCTTTCTGACTTCCTTGGTCCCTATTTTCCAAGTTGGTGCATGTCGACGTCCATACGGCTATAACCCAATACTCCGTGGGGCTCGAAATATTGTCTAATACAGAATTTCACCGTTAGTACCAATTATATTAAGAAAAAAATTAAATTAAACAATCAACTTAGGATATAGATAAAGGAAACAATATATAATTACTCACTTCATCGTAATATAAGAGATATGTTTATTGAACTAGAAAATAAGAACAGTCCGAGTCCTTATTTTCAGAAGGAGAGAGTGCTTTTCATTGCTCAGAGAAAAAAAGGACAAAATATAAACCTTATCATTTGTATAGGCTGCATGGAATGTTAATTTGTGAGTTTCCAAAAAGTAAATACAGTATATTTTAAGAAAATAGAGGAATTTTGCTGAAAAGTCTCGGCACATTTTAATAATTCATTATTTTGAACTTAACCGTTCTGTATTCCATGGTACGTACAAATAAGAACTAGGCCGAAAAAAATTAGGTCAAGCTTGTCGTTTCGTGTTGATATCAAGTTTGTGATCTCAAGCATATACTCCCTCCATTCCAAAATAAGTGTCGTTTTAGCAAAATGGAGAAATTCCAAAATAAGTGTCGTTCTCACATTTCAATGCTCTTTTTGTCAAAAGTTTTCAAAATTACCCTCAAAAGAGTTGATGCTATTGGTGGACAATTTTATAATGGGGATGGTTGAGGATATTCAAGTAATTTTATTACCCTATTTAAGAGTTTCTTAAATTATGTATAAAGAGTAGGACGACACTTATTTTGGAATGGAGGGAGTATCATTTTTATAGGTCTTGACATAAATAACACTTTCTCCGCTGAAAAAAATAAATCGTTTTATTATTTTTGTCCAAAAAGTAGACTATTTTTCTAGAAAAAAGGAGTACTAAAATTGAATTACAAAGTGAATCTATTTATAGCACTCATCGAAGTAGGAAAAAGCAAAAAATAATTTAGGCCCAGGTTTTATATACTATTTATTATGTACATCAGCAATCAGCATAGTTCATAGTCAAACCATATCTGAGAAAGTCTTCTTTGATGATGCCATCAATTAATGGAAGCTTCTTGGTCAGTACTCAGCAGATAAAGCTTTACCAAGACTGAAGCCAAAAAAAAAAAAAACAAAATAAACAAAATCATGGTATCATAGTACGTACTCGTGTGATTCAAGCGGAAAAAGACTACTAGAAAATATATGGCCTTGACTATAGCTGTCTATCGGGTGTGAAATACTGGAGAAATAAGAAAATCTAATAAATATATGCAATGTAATATTTATAAAGGTTTATTTCTTTTTTTTTTTTCTGATCAATATAAAGGTTTATTTGTTGATTTTGAGAGAGTGCGAGATCGAGTTGGGTCGGGTAAAAACATGTAAGGGTTGTAATTATTAATTATTAATATTCTTCTTTTTATCGATGAGCTGTATTCAATTCCCCAAATCATATGGACAATGAGGACAAATCAAGTTGCGTGAAATTGTTAGACTATAACCTTATAAGGAAGTGGTGATTTGGTTTATAAGAAAGGCACTTTAATTTGATCTTTTTCTTTTGCATAAACCTTTATTTGTTTTTAACATTAGTCTGGTGTTTATTGGATCAATTAAACTTGATCATGACGACGTTAAATATATATATATATATATATATATATATATATTTTGTTGCAATAAGAGGGGTTACCGCCTAAGTTTGTACATTTCTGAGATATGCAACCCCTATTACATTATGTTGTAATTACGGTCTAACAATCGATAGCGGCGATTTTAATCTTTGTGGACTTATAGGTCTACGGGTCGCTAATAATGTTAAATAATCAATTACAAAATTTATTTTTCCGGTCCACGTTGAATTTTGATGATACTAATCACAAAAGTTATATCAAAATTATTTAACGAAATTAAGTTGACCCACTGAATAGGCATCGATCAATGGCATTTAATGAATTAATTCATCCTTCATGTATATATTCCAGGAAATGTATGAGAAGATGAGGACAAAAATAGAAAGTGTGATGGAGAAAGGAAAGGTGACAGATGAATACATCACTAGTGAAGAAGAGCATGAAGCTTTTAGCATCTTCCAACAAGAATCTTTCACTCGTCAACAACATCCTTCTGTTATTCAGGTTCATTTTAACAATTACACTTTCTACGATAAAGTATTATATATTAGTGTTATTGGATAAATTTCAGCAAGACTGAAACTTTTGAACTTATGATCAATCCTCCTCATGTGTGCCCTCATTTCAGGTTTTATTAGAAAGTGGTAAGGACGACAAAGACAGAGCTGGAAACTCCATGCCCAATTTGATTTACATTTCCAGGGAGAAAAGCAAGAGCTATCCCCATCATTTTAAGGCTGGTGCCCTAAACACCTTGGTAAGTCGGCCACCAACTAATATGTTTAGATTCTCGCAAACCATATATACATGGTCCAGCTTGGACCCTTTCCCAAAAATGAAAAACAAAACTACACCACAAATAATCCTCTTTGATCAATCATACACAGTGATTTAGTTGTTTGCCATATTTTCTTACACTTTCTCTTTGTCTTATTTAGTCAGTGAGTGATTTCAATTATTGACGGAACCATTCTATCATGATAACATGTAATTTCTCATAAATTTATCCTAAAAAATTAGACAAAAATGGTATGTAACAATTGTGCTTCTGGGATGTAGCTCCGGGTCTCGGCAGTAATGACAAATGCACCAATAGTGCTCACTCTCGACTGTGACATGTTCTCAAATGATCCCAAAACGGTCCAATCGGTGCTCTGTTACGTAATGGATCCTCCTGACCCGGCCAAATTAGGATACATCCAATTCCCACAGATGTATCATGGGTTAAACAAGGCCGACATATATGGATCTGAATTCAAGCCATTGTTTCAAATGAATCCAGTGGGTATGGATGGCATTAAGGGCCCAAATTACGTTGGAACTGGATGCTTTTTCAATCGACGAGTTTTCTTCGGGGGTCCTTCATCTTTTGTTCAGCCAGAAATTCCTGAACTTGGACCAGATTTTACTGTCAAGGAGCCTCTTGATTCTCCACTTACAAAGAGCCGAGCTCACCAAGTAGCTGCATGTAACTATGAAGACCAGACTCATTGGGGTTCAAAGGTTCGCTTTTTTTTTTTTCTTTATTTATTTTTTTCCAAAGGATCAATATCGGTCCGAAATAATTTTCATTTATAGTGTGAAATGTAATAAAAATAAAAATTCAAACTGGGTAAACATTTCAATATTAGACTAATTAACATATTCCATGATCGGTATATTAAATTAACGTTAAACTAATGTTGCAGATTGGATTCAGATATGGATCACTGGTGGAAGACTATTACACAGGTTTTCGACTTCTTTGTGAAGGATGGCATTCCATATTTCACCACCCCAAGAGGCCAGCATTCCTTGGCGATATCCCAATTTCCCTTCATGATGTCCTTAGCCAAAATAAGAGATGGTGTGTCGGGCTTCTGGAGGTAGCTTTCTCCAAGTACAGCACCATAACATTTGGAGTCAAGTCCATGGGATTTCTAGCATCTCACGGTTTTACCCACATTGCTTTCTGGCCACTTTGGTCAATTCCTATTACTCTTTATGCCTTTCTTCCCGCACTAGCTCTCCTCAACGATATCTGCATTTTCCCAAAGGTAAAGAAAAAAAATACTTGTTAGCATTCTTCTTCTGGTTCGAAAATAATTGTCCTGTTTATATTTTAATAAAATAGTATAACAAACATGACAATCGGGTTTTAACATATATAATAATAAACAGGATTAGTGCCCGCGCCTTCTCTTATATATCCATTTATGTTTTTTTTTAATAATTTTGTAGGTATCCGATCCGTGGTTTGGCTTGTATGCCTTTTTATTCCTTGGGGCATATGGGCAAGAATGTCTAGACTTCATTTTAGCCGGGAGTTCATTTGAGAGGTGGAGGAATGACCAACGGATGTGGCTCATCAAAGGGCTCACTTCTTACACGTTTGGAACCATTGAGTACATAACCAAAATTGTAGGCATTGCATCACATGGATTCAATGTCACGAGCAAAGTAATTGATGATGAACAAGGCAAGAGGTACGATCAAGGGATATTCGAGTTTGGGGTGGCATCGCCCATGTTTGTGACATTGTCAATGGCCGCAATCCTCAACATGGTTGCTTTCGTATATGGTTTACTGAAGATCAAATCACTGGAGGGCTTGTTTGTTGAAATGTTTTTGGCTGGTTTTGGAGTCTTGAATTCCTTGCCGATTTATGAAGCCATGGTCTTGAGAGGTGATAAGGGAAAAATGCCAACCAAAATCACCCTCATTTCTGCTTCTCTTTCTATATTTCTCTATGTTTCTAGTATCTTCATACTAAAGATATAGGTGCAATGTTTGAGCTTAATGTGCTACTTTATATCTAGAATTTCGACGGACACTGTAGCAATATTTCCATATTGGAATCTCTTGCTTGTAGTTAAAAAGGTCTGTCTAGTCCTACTTAATTTATAATTAGTGCAATTGATTACAAAAAACAATGCTTACCCAAATCTGAAAATGATTGTTCAACCTGAATTTTTATTTTTTAATTTAAATTAGACAATCTATATATTTTATATACCGAATAGAGAAACCGGAGAGAGAAACTAAAAATTATTTCTACAGTGTCACATATGACAAAATCCAAGGTGCTATTTTCTCATTAATTCTCAAAAAATAAACTTTATGTAATTCTTGAACAAGTCCTCTAATTTTATAAGAAAAACAAACAGTACTAGTTATGATTGAAGAAGAAAGACTTAAAAAAATTAAAAAAAATTTAATATCTGGCCCCATCTAACTTATAATTCCCATAACGAATCCTCTAATTGTTCTCTAACTTCATGGATTGTGGATTATATTTTGTGGATGATGATTCATGATTGGATTATTCTATCATTCTCCGGTCTAATCATCCTCAAATTATAATTTTGTATAATGGTATAGAAAAACTTATTATTCTTTATGTATAATGTTAGGACATTTTCCGTTAATTATTTTGTAAATTATAATCACTTGTGATATATATATATATATTTGTACTTTATGAATTATTTATAAAATTGTTATAATTTATCCCGCATATCGTGCATGTATAACATCTAGTTATTTAGAAATAAAATTGAAATTTGTCATTCCAGCGACATCGGTTTTCGATTATAGATTTCACAACTAAGAGGTTCGCTACTTTATTATCCATCCACCGAAGCATACATCCGTTCTCTCATGGTCTTGACATCTAAAGAGCCGTAAAATTAAATATGGCTGGATCCTCCATTGAGAAAAAAAACCCCTCCAATCGCAGGCTGTGGAATTGTTCTTCGAAATGTCTATGGAACTGTAATCTCCGTTTATTCAAAATTTGTTGGTCATGCAATCCCTAATGGCAAGTATGACAAATTTTTTGTGAGGTCAATTCAGTGGTCAACTAGCGAAAATGGTACGCATCCCATGCATCATCCACTAAACAATAATTTTATTTATTCTTTACTCCCTCGATTGGGTCTATTTATTTAGGTCAAATTGATTGTTAACTAATTACCGATAGATGTTTTCATAGCCGATTCAATATCTTCCCACTCTTTAAATTACCGAGAGGGTTTAATTTCTTGTTAAGCATTTTGTGTAGTTCCTATGCTCACAACCAATGTGGCACAATTATAATGGACATACGGTTAATAAATTTTTTTTTATTTTTAAAAAAAGAATTCGATGAGTACCAAAACATTAGTTAAGTAGTGTTTGTGGGATGAATATTGAAATCTATTAAGTGCCTAAGAATTTTTTTTATACCCGAGCTATTTCTTTCTTTTCACTTTTTTTTTTCAGAAAAAAGATACTACTACTAGTTAAATTGGAATCCAAAGCTTACATAAACAACTAGATTGGATGCGTTTTTTCAGGTATATGTTCATGGATAAGCAAACATTTTTATTTACTTTTTTCTTTTTGAGAAATGGTAAGAACTATTAAAATCGGATGTAACGTTCTTACAAAAGATCGTTTTTTTTTTTCCCGTAAATGATAATTTTTTTATATATAAAAAAAATACAAACGTAAACGACAAAAAGATGGAAAACGGTTTCATCATATATGGTCGATTTCTTTGTTCCGAGACAAGGTTCGTTTAAGTGTGCATTTCGGGAATTTATTTTATGACAATTTGGTTGTTTCAATAATGTGCGTGTGACGAGATTCCTAAGACCTGGGCTGGGCATGCAGGGTTTTTTAAACAAAAAAACATCATCTACAAATACACATAATATACAAACCGCAAGAGATTCGCCTAGTATGTATGTGAATTAAATTCATCCAAAAAAATGCTCCTTTTTCTTAAAGAAATAATAAATGTACAATCAGGACTTCAAACATATTGGAATCAATATAGTCTTACGAGGTTTGTATCAGACGACAATATAGTAAACTGACAAGGATTCAACCTTAATTTAAAGGGTAGGCAGAAATCTCAATATGGCCTCATACTTTTTCATTGGAATCTTCACTGTTAATTTGATGTTGAGTTTAGATATTTGTTTCCGTTCCAAAAATTAAAAAAATGCAAAAGATATAATTTCTTAATTAATTTTTTTTTTTCCTGTCCTTCCGATACACCACATATGCAGTATGCATGGAGTACTGTTAAACATTAACATTGGCCAACCCAGCTATGACTAGTCCAATGCACCTGCGTACGCACATTAAATTGCCCAATTAAATTAATCAATCTATTAAGCATTTTAACGTAGCAATCAATCAGGAACTGCCCTACATTTTAATTAAACAGTTAAAATTAAGTTTTATTTATATTTTACTAGTACTAATTAATATCAAGGCGGCTCGGTAGGATGTAACTTTCAAATGAACGAGTATACTCCAATAATTTGATTCTTCATTAATAAAAGAATAACATAATCGTCAAAGAGCACTTGAAAAAGATCACGAAACACAATAACAAATACGAGAAAACGACAAATAGCATACAAAAACGAAAATTGGCACCGTTATGTAGTTTTTCAGTTTTTTTTTTCCCCTTTGTATAATATAATCAACGCCAAAAAAAAAAAGAAAGAAAACACACGTACTCCCTATCTTAAAAAGAAAAATTAAAAAAAAAAAGCTTCCGTAAAAATCTGAAAATTCAATGAACATTTTTATTTTTTGGGACAGAGGTAATATCAATTTAGAAATGTAATTTATTTATTTTTTAAACTAAAATTTTAAATTTTAGGACATAACAAAGTATATTGTCAAACTGAGTTGGAAGTTGATTTACAAGCTAATGAACTCTACATGTGTCATTCCACAATTAAATGTAAGACTACACCTGAAAGTATAGGTCATTTATATTAAATGTAGTGTAATATAACTCAAATTAATTTGTTACTGTGTTAAATTTATATGTAGTATTTTATTACTATTGTTATTATTATTATTATTATTATTATTATTATTTACATATATCACTTATTTAACGTCTGAAACCATACGTACACATCACTCCAAGAGATGAAAAAAGTAAATAAAAAAAAAATCACAAGGTCTATAAATAGTGAGTGATCTAGCGGCCTCAATTGCTGCCTGGCAAAACCAAAGATCAGAACAACAATGGCGCCTATTATTAACCCCGCCGGAAAACCCAAACTCCACTCTCAAAGGAAGCTCCGGCGCACATATTTCAACCGTGCATTCGCTGCCATTTACTCGTTAGCCATCTTAGCTCTAGTCTACCACCATGCTCTCGCCCTCATCCAATCCAAATCCTTCTTATCCTTCTCCATCTCCATTTCCATGCTCATTGCCGACTTCGTTCTTGCCTTCATGTGGACCACAGCTCAGTCGTTTCGTATGAACCCTACAGTTCGTGAAGTTCACTTAGAAAACCTTGAAAAGGTGATTACTTCCAAGGAAAATTTTCCGGGTCTGGATATTTTCATTTGCACAGCGGACCCGTATAAAGAGCCGCCTTTGAGCGTGGTGAACACCGCCTTGTCTGTGATGGCGTATGATTATCCGCCGGAAAAGATATCGGTTTACGTGTCGGACGATGGAGGATCGGAGTTGACCTTGTTTGCTTTCATGGAAGCTGCTAAGTTTGGAAGGTCTTGGCTGCCTTTTTGCAAGCAGAATAACATATTGGATAGATCACCCGATGCCTATTTCAAGTCGAACTACTCTTCAAGTTCTGAGACTCAAAACATTAAGGTACCAAAGTTAATTGATTTACTGACTCCTCCGTCCCCGAAATTATTATCTAGTTTGAATTCATAAAAAAATTTAAATTGGACAATAATTTCGGAACGGAAAATAACCTTTTGTGTTTATCTCTCTAATCATCACTGGGTTTGATCTGAATTCTTGTTTGTTATACCGATCTGCAAAAAATGTTGTGTACAAAGCTAGTATTTTTTAGATTTTCAAAAAACAATTACTGGATGAGTCACTCTCGAAATTTACTAAAAATTTCACTATGAATATTATGATTCTTTTTTCCTTTTTATGGATCTTAGATGTGTACATTTCAACTTCATGATTTTCTGTTCTTCTTTTTTTCTTCTTTTTAATTCTATTATTGTGTGACACAAATCATGTAGAAAGCCGTTTTGAACTCAGAAAATATTTGCCTTGTTCCAAAGTATTTGGAGTGTTTGCAATAATTTTGTGATCTTTTAATTAAAGCATTATTTTTTGCCCCAAATAATTAATACCATCAAAATTAAAAACTTAGTAATTGTCGTGCTAGGAAAAAGAGACAGGGGAAAACATAGACCTGGTCATTCTCGTAAGACGTTAACGTATTTTGTCTTTTCTCTAAAATATTAAGGTAGGAAGAATATAAAAATTTAATAGGATGTCTTCTATAATGGATAGGACAAGAAAATGTAAATAAAACATAGTAGAATAATATTTAACTTTCCACAATACAATTACTCCCTCCATTTCAAAATGTAGGTCGTTTTAGATTTGGAGAGATTTTTCAAAAATGTAAGTCGTTTTACAAATTCTAGGCAAATTAATGACTATTTTTCTAACTTTACCCTCAATAAATGATGTTAATTTATTTTTATTTAGTTTTGTTTATAGTTCCAACGTAATTAATGAGGGGTAAAATAGATATTTAACACATAAATTAATTGTTAGATGATTGTCTTCTTAGTTTACGTGTCAAGTCTAAAAAGACTTACATTTTGAAATGGAGGGATTACTATAGTATTTGTTCCATCCGGTACATGTAAATTAATTAACTATTGCTTTTGTTTTGTGTTGCTATCAACTTAAATTTGTTGTCGATATTATTTGTTAAAATCACTTGTTGGAGGACGTACGTAAATTAATATAATGACGTACAACTGACTTGAATCTCTTATAGTATCTGTTATAGTTGAATGAAACCAAAAAAGAAAAAAAGATAAAAAAAATAAAATAAAAAATAATTCATTGTGTCCTGGTATTTTTACATAGGTAATCTGCATCAGTTCTTAGTCAAGCCATATCAGACCAAGTCTTCTTTGATGGCTATCTTCTTCGTCAGCACTCAGCAGCCATAGCTCACCGCGACTAATGCTAAAAACAAATTTATGGTATCATAGGCTCATAATTCAGAGAGGAAAAAAAATTGAAAAAAAAAAAACTCCTGTTTTCGATATGATTATTCTGTTTGTATCTTCATTTTTAATATGATTTATATTGATAGCAAAAATTTAAACTAAATAATTATTTTTGGGACAAAGGGAGTAGAAAATTAAGAAGAAATATTTGAGAAAAAGGTTTAATTGTTGTTGTTAGAGATCAGATGGTAAGGATTGTGTAGTTAACTACGAGATTAAAGTTCAACGCTGGTAAAACGTGGTGAGGAGAAAAAGAATGGAAAGTTGAACCGCAACTTCTTTAATGACAAACATTCTTCTTCGGTAAAATATAATACTCCCTCCGTCAAATAATTATTGTCCAGTTTGGATTTTTATTTCTAGTACAAATTGAACTAAAATTGAAAATCCAAACTGGACAATAATTTTGGAACGGAGAGAGTATATGCATCCTTAATCAGTGGTTCAGTGAGCTGTCTCAAACTTCCCTAATCGAAGTTATGTACGTAATTGATAATCTATCTATCCACAAAAGAAGTGATGACTTACTTAGTCAGAAAGGTACTTCCATTTGATCATTGGGGTATAACAGTTTATTCCTTAACATTATTTAGATGCTTATTGGATCGATTTTAATTTGATCATGACAGCTTTGAATATTTGTTTTGACAACTAGTCAAATGTTTCAAAGTTAAATCAAACGTACTTTGTAATTAAATAAACAATAGTAACCCTAAATTTATTCACCCTTCAAATATTCCAGGAAATGTATGAGAAGATGAGGACAAAAATAGAAAGTGTGATGGAGAAAGGAAAGGTGACAGATGAATACATCACTAGTGGAGAAGAGCATGAAGCTTTTACCATCTGGAAACAAGGATCCTTCACTCGTCAACAACATCCTTCTGTTATTCAGGTTCATTTTACTAATTAGCACTCACAAATTAAACTTTTGTTTCTTCTATTATATATTATTAGTTTTATATACTGAATACATTTCAACAAGACTGGAACTTTAGAAACTCGTGATTATAACCTCGCAACCTCTTCATGTGTGTGTGGGCATTGATTTTCAGGTTTTGTTGGAAGGTAGCGAGGACAGAGACATAGAAGGAAACCCCATGCCTAACCTGATTTACATGTCAAGGGAGAAAAGCAAGAGCTACCCCCATCATTTCAAGGCTGGTGCCCTCAACGCCCTGGTTAGTACCATTAACGTTTTCTGACACCATCCCTTCAAATGGTATTGCCATTAATTGTGATGTTTATATACATGGCCCCTCCTCATTAATCCCCCCAACCACACTCTCCACACACCTATGAAGGAATTTCAAACATTCGTGTCACGTCCTATATTCTTGGACACGATGTTTTATGTAACACTACTTAAAATGATTTATAGAATTTTTACTGATGGTAAATAATAACAAATTATCACCTAATAACACTATTTACCAGTACCACATATAATTTAAAACATTGTGAGAATTCTTACGTAGAAATGTGTTTTTTTATGGTTGATTTATATATTTAATTAAATGGAGTCCAAGATGATGCAATAGTAATTTCATTTTATTATGTTCTTAGAGTATAAATTCATGTATGAAAAAAATAGAATGAAAGTATAATAATGTAAAATAGTAATTGTATTATACCTACAATGGTACAAACTACAAAGTATAAATTATCGTGAATACTCTAATTACTTACCCAAATGGATTTATTTGATATTTTGTTAGAGTGTGATATTAATAGTACACATCTTCAGAAGTTCATTTCACTATCATGTACCTAAAACAACAAATAAAAACTCTTCTTTTAATACTTTTTAGTGAACTAAGTCATAAAGTTATCTATTAAATTTTCTTTGATTTTCATTAACACTGATTTTAAACACTGAAATTTTATGTAATTTCTGTGCTTCTTTCATTTTTTATTCATTTCTTATTTCTTTTTTGGGTACTGTAAAGCTTCGGGTATCAGCAGTAATGACAAATGCGCCTATAGTACTCACTCTGGATTGCGACATGTACTCGAATGATCCCCAAACGGCAAAAAAAGTGCTCTGTTACTACATGGATCTACCGGATAATCCCAATTTGGGATACATACAATGCCCTCAAATCTATCACGGGTTAAACAAGAGTGATATCTATGGATCTGAGTACAAGCCATTGTTTCAAATGAATCCAATAGGAATGGATGGCCTTCGAGGCCCAAATTATGTCGGAACTGGATGTTTCTTCAATCGCCGAGTGTTCTTTGGTGGTCCTTCATCATTTGTTCAACCAGAGATTGCACAGCTCGGACCAGATTCTGTTGTAAACATGCCTATTAATGGTAAAGAGGTAATGAAATTAGCCGACCAAGTAGCTGCATGTAATTATGAAGACCAGACAAATTGGGGTTCAAAGGTAAATTAACCATCACTTTAGTGAATGAAAGTGATATATAACACGCATTCATTTACAGGATCAAATTTACAGAGTTTTGATTTATGATGATATTGTGTTTGTATTTTGATTCAATATATACAGATTGGTTTCAAATATGGGTCTTTGGTGGAGGACTACTACACTGGTTTTCGACTTCTGTGTGAGGGATGGCATTCCATATTCCATGATCCGAAAAGGCCAGCATTTCTGGGTGATGTACCAATTTCCCTTTATGATGCATTAGGCCAAAATAAGAGATGGTGTGTAGGGCTTCTGGAGGTAACTTTCTCAAAATACAGCACCATAATATATGGAGTCAAGTCCATGGGATTTCTCGCAGCTCACAGTTTCACCCACTATGCTTTCTGGCCTATATGGACCATTCCAATTGCTACTTATGCCTTTCTCCCTTCACTGGCTCTGCTCAACGGGATATCCATTTTTCCAAAGGTAAATGGATATCTTACTATTGAATATGCAAAAATAAATATTTTACGTATTCATTACTCTATCTTTTTGTTCCAAAAAAAATAGTCCAATTTGAATTTTAAATTTTGAGTTATTTTTTTTAATATAAATTTAAAAACTCAATATAAATTATATTTTCTGGTACAGATATAATGCAATTTTTTATTCATTTCTATACGTTTGCATGATAATTTGACAGGTGTCGGATCCATGGTTTTACTTGTATGCCTTTCTATTTCTTGTGGCATATGGGCAAGAATGTGTAGACTTCATTATAAGTGGGAGTACATTTGAGAGGTGGTGGAATGATCAACGAATGTGGCTTATTCGAGGGCTCACATCTTACCCGTTTGGAACCCTTGAATACTTCAACAAAGTTCTAGGCATTGCAACAAAAGGATTCAGTTTGACTAGTAAAGTGGTTGATGACGAACAAGGCAAGAGGTACGATCAAGGGGTATTCGAATTCGGGGTGGAATCACCAATGTTCGTGCCGTTGTCCACGGCGGCAATCCTCAACTTGGTTGCTTTCCTCTATGGCTTTCTGAAGATCAACTTGGACGGCTTGTTTGTTCAGATGTTTATAGCTGGCTTTGGAGTCTTGAATTCCATCCCGATTTATGAAGCCATGGTGTTGAGAAGTGATAAAGGAAGAATGCCCACCAAAATTACCGTGATTTCTGCATCTCTTGTTGTTGTTCTTTGTGTTTCAAGTATGTTTTTACACTGAAGATGTAGGCGGGATCACTATTGAAGCTTGATGTGGTGGACATGTAAGAGCTATCATCTTGGAAGGAGGTATGAAGGAAACATTATTTTGTAGAATTTCCAATTGGAGTCCTTTGCAATAGCAATGTATATAATTCATAGTCTACTTGATGGAGATTGTCCTACATCAACATTCTCAATAAATATTCACCTACATCTGGAATATGCATTGATTAATTTACTACCTGTACTATATCAATATATTATAATAATAAGAATATAATAATAATAATCTAATAATAATCTACCTGTATTTATATATATGTGTATGTATATAAAATCTTAACAATTATTTTTTAAATACAAGACACCGTAGTCTAAACTCTAAAGCATTAAATCGGTGCTCCATGGATCATACAACCTCAAAAAGTCACTTAAATTTTCAATAATAGACTTGTAATTAATTAACACTGAAATTCCACTCTAAATAATCATGTTGTAGTTTCACTTCCCAATCTCTGTCAAACGTATAACAAACTCGTATATGCTATAAACACAAGTGGTAACAACTGATGTGAACGGGGAAGAATATTGAAAATTTTATATACATATATTTTTCAATATATATATGATTTTATAAACATCAGTCCCTCTATAAAATCACATATCCAATCTAAGTTAAATAACAGCCAATAAAAAAAATCTTTTAAAGAAAAAAGATGGCGACAAATACCGCCGCTACCACCGCCGGAAAACACCAACTCCACACTCAAAGGTTGCTCCGCCGCACGTATTTCAACCGGGCATTCGCCGTCGTTTACTCACTGGCGCTCTTAGCCTTACTCTACCGACAGGCATTGTCACTTGTGGGCCCCATTTCCTTAGCTTCCATTTCCATGCTCATTGCCGACCTCGTTCTCGTTTTCGTGTGGATAGCTTCTCAGGCGTGTCGGATGAAACTGATTTCCCGCGAAGTTTATGTGGAAAATCTTCACAAAGTAATCACTTCTAAGGAGGATTTTCTGGGTCTGGATATTTTCATTTGCACGGCTGACCCGTTTAAAGAGCCGCCTTTAAATGTGGTGAACACGGCCTTGTCGGTGATGGCTTATGACTATCCGCCGGAAAAGTTGTCAGTTTATGTGTCCGACGACGGTGGGTCGGAGTTGACTTTGTTCGCTTTCATGGAGGCTGCTAAATTCGGAAGGTTTTGGTTGCCTTTTTGCAAGCGAAATAACGTTATGGATAGGTGTCCTGATGCTTACTTCAAGTTGAATTATTCTCCAAGTCCTGAGGCTCAAACCATTAAGGTATGCGTGAAATGATTCTTTTTTTCTTTTTTTCTTTTTTTTTTTGGTTATGCTTTTTGTGTTATTTGTTATGGTCTTAATTTCCATGTGGTACAATCATGAAGATGCACGGTTCAATAAATAAAAATGACTGAAGCAATGTGATGATTGGGTCAAAGTTAAACTCAATGAAGTACTAAAATGTGACTTCACTAATAGCCTTTTAAGCTTCTGTTTTTTTGAGTTATCAAAATTATTAATCAATCGCCATAGATTACAACTATGTTGATTGGAAGACAACACAAGGCAAGCTAGATCGAATTAATTGCGTCCCGCTCCCACTTTAAACGTGTTTGTTTGGGTGTCAATGAAAAGACATTTTCACAATAATCCGAATGAGATTATAGCTTGTTTAGTGATGAAGCTCTTATTTTTTAGGAAAATGTTCTGAGTTGAATTCTCTAACACGTACGTGAGGATTGAACTTTCTCTTTGATTATGTACATTTAGATTTTAAATTTATTGGATCACATATTAAGTTTCAGTGAATGCGAGTTTATTAATCCTTGACATTCCCCGTGTAATAATTTAGGAAAAGACTGATCCAGATATAAATAAAATGAATATATAGGAAACTCATCTTCGTTCCAGTCAATTTTCAGTTCAATCCAATTATTTCCATAACAAAAAGAAAAGGAAAAAAAATAATGCCACAAAATGGCAAAACCATGTGGTACGTATCTACCGTATGGACATCTAGCGTCGTCTATTTACGAGTTGTTGTTTTCTGTAATATTTGGTCCATCTTTCGTAATAAGCGGATAACACTATCCCAAAAAAAAAAAAAAAGCATTTGTGTGTAGCAGTATATCCAATATCACATCCCTAATTCCCATTTATAAGAAAAAGACAAAATGGAAAAATTTCAGACCTCATCATCATTCTTCCAAGCAATGTTATCAGACTCGGCTCGGACACTGACTCGGAGAGGATAGGGGTCAGAGGTTTTAGGGATCGATTCGGGTCGACTCGGGTGGTCGACTCGGATGACATCATTACGATGTAATAAATAATATATAATTTAAAAATATATTAATAATTAGAAAAACTTAATATTTATGAATTTTTTTATGGTAATAGTTAACAATAGTTTTTTAGAGCATGTAATTACAGTTTAAGATAAGTATATTAATTCTTTATGATTAAAATTTATAAAGTTATACAAGGTAATCAACTTTTATTTTTAATAAAATGTATATATATAGTTTAATTTCATCATATTCAAGGTATAGTTAAATTTTGTGTAAAATAATAGGATTTCATATGTGAGAAAAATATTTAAAAAGATTTTAATTTGAATATGGTTGTTTTATAAGTTGAACTAGAAAATTTGGGACTAAAATGACAAATTAATTCATGAATAAAAGTTGTTGACCATTTAAGAACAACAGGCAAATATTTGGACCAAGAACAAGGGAGAAAGACACGGAAAGCTAGGGAAGAAAAGGTAAAGTTGGCCCAAAAGTGCAAAAAACATAAACTCCAGGTCGACCCAGTTTTGTCCGGTTTCCGGTTCACTCGGGGTTTTGACCGAATCACAAAAGAAGGGATTTCAAATCACTCGGCTCAGCATGTAGTCCGATTCCCGGTTTAACTGGTTGAATCGGCCGGTCCGAGCCGAATTTAACAGCATTGCGTCCAAGTACCAAACTATATGTCTAGATTGGGATTCTCTAATAATCATCAGTCAAAAGAACATAAGGGCAATGAAATATGACGCCGCATTAGTTTTAGAGGTCGAAATTCCTCTTTGGTTTTGGGGGGAAAAAAAGTTAGAGATAATTTTTTCTCCAATTAATTAATGATTGGAAAAGAGGCGTATATGACAAAATGTAAAAACTAATACGTACCTATTCTAGTATAGGACAAATGAAGTCATTGAATCTGATTATTGTTGTTCAATATGTTCATCCACGAGCGGATATTATATAAGTAGTCCCATTCCTTTTGGAATAAGTGGTAGAAATTCAAGATTCTAAATCCATCGCTTTCGTGGAAAGGGAAAAAATCATCCAGCGACATGCAAATCGGCGCTGTCCTAGTTTCTTGCGGCTTTCAATACAGTACTTTGATCCATCAATCTCACTACGATTTTAGCTGGCCTAATTTACTGATAGCAGCTTTGAAAAATAGTTTTCGAATAAAGGGAATTATTTTTCAAACACATATAAGAAATTACGTACGCAGTTTGTATACTGGTACTAATCAGGTTGATCAATACTCCATAATTCATATTGATACTTATGATACCCTTAACTAATTGTAATCGTGGTGCTTTTTTTCACATAAAGTTACATGCAGAATTAATCATTTAATTACTTAAAGGATGTTTGATTGCTCTAATTAAGGTTTATTTATTAAACTGATTAACGTAAATGTCACGTAAATTCCAGGATATGTATGAGAAGATGAGGATGAAAATAGAAAGCGTGATGGAGAAAGGAAAGGTGACAGATGAATACATCACCAGTGAAGAAGAGCTTCAAGCTTTTAGTCAATGGAAAGATGGAATATTTACTCGTCAACAGCACCCCTCTGTCATTCAGGTTAATTTTCATTTACCACTCAGCAACTTTTAACTGACCTCAGTAGAATTTGAAATCGCATTGATGATATGCATTGGATACGTATATATCCACAAAATTTGTCAGGTTTTGTTGGAAGGTAGCAAGGATAAAGACATAGAAGGAAACCCCATGCCCAACCTGGTTTACATTTCAAGAGAGAAAAGCAAGGCCTCACCCCATCATTTCAAGGCTGGAGCCCTAAATACCTTGGTAGGATTTTCATATTATTCCAATGAGAAAAAATTACTCCCTTTATCCTATAAACAAAGTCCACCTTGAGATAATATGTTAATTGTATTAAAAAGAGCACAGCTTACAAATTGTAACATGGTCTATTTTTTTGGGACGGAAAGAGTAAAACTCAAAATGATTATAATCAGGCATAAATTGAAAAAATTTTCATTTGTTTTTTTCCGCAGCTTCGAGTATCAGCAGTAATGACGAATGCACCAATCATACTCACTTTGGACTGTGACATGTACTCAAACGACCCGAAAACAGCCCAAAGAGTGCTCTGCTTCATAATGGATCCTCCATATCCCAAATTAGGCTACATACAGTTTCCTCAGATTTATCATGGTTTGAACAAAGCTGACACATATGCAGCTGAGCTTAGGCAAATTTTTCAGATCAATCCAATGGGTTTAGATGGCATTCGCCACGTAAATTATGTTGGTACCGGATGTTTTTTTAATCGCCGGGTTTTCTTTGGTGGACCGTCATCCTTAATTCCATTAGAGATTCAAGAACTAAGGCCAGATTATGTTGTTAAACAACCCATTAAGTCTGAACAAGTAATGAACTTGGCGCATCAGGTTGCCGGATGCAACTATGATGAAGATCACACTGATTGGGGCTCAAAGGTGAGCCACTGATTTGTTCTACAATCTTTAATTTCTGCATGTTCAAACAGGATTTGAACTGAATGACTTATGATAATTGCAGATTGGACTGAAATATGGAAGTGTGGTGGAGGATTTCTACACGGGATATCGACTTCAATGTGAGGGATGGCATTCTATATTTTACCATCCTAAAAGACCTGCATTTCTTGGTGATGTACCAATTTCCCTTCATGATTCTCTAAGCCAAAATAAGCGATGGGCTGTTGGACTTTTAGAAGTTGGTTTATCAAAGTATAGTCCTGTTACATTTGGAGTGAAAGCCATGGGGATTTTTGCAGCTTCCACTTATGCCCACTATGCTTTGTGGCCCATATGGTCTATTCCTATAACCATATATGCTTTCATTCCGCAACTCAGCATGCTGAACAATATTCCCGTTTTCCCAAAGGTATCTAATGAAATACAGTAGTTTGCATAATTTGATATCACTATTTTGCATAAAGTTTGAGTGTTAAAATTCCAAGAGTTGGGAACAGTTGCATGATTTAAGGTATTAATAGTACTAATTGTGTAGTTTGATTTAAGGTATTAATAGGCCAATGTTTGGGGCTAACTTCTTATATGTGCTAATAATTTTTACAGGTATCTGATCCTTGGTTTTTCTTGTACTCATTTCTATTTTTGGGAGCATATGGACAACAATTACTGGACTTCATTTTAAGCCAAAGTACAATCGGAAGGTGGTGGAGTGATCAAAGATTTTGGCTCTTAAGAGGGCTCACCTCTCACCTGTTTGCAACCTTTGAAGTCCTAACCAAGAGTCTAGGAATCAATATTGCGACACAGGGATTCAACGTGACAAGTAAAGTAATAGATGATGAACAAGGGAAGAGGTATGATCAAGGGATATTCGAGTTCGGAGTGGCATCGCCAATGTTTGTGCCTATGTCCATGGCGGCAATCCTCAACTTGGTTGCTTCCATCTACGGTTTTCTGGTGATCAATTTTGATGGCTTCTTCGCTCAAATGTTTCTAGCTGGTTTTGGAGTGTTGAATTCCTTACCAATTCTTGAAGCCATGATATTGAGAAGTGATAAAGGAAGAATGCCAACCAAAGTCACCATCATCTCGGCCTTTCTTGTTTTAGTTATTTATGGTGCTAGTTTACTTGTACTATAGATATAGCCCTGTAGCTAGGTGCATAGAGGAAGAGCTTTGATTTGCTTTTGCAAATAAATATTCATTTGTACACTTTAAGTTTTACATTGAATTAATTACTCCCTCTGTTCCAAAATTATTGTTCAGTTTGGGATTTTACTTTTAGCATAATTTGAACTAGAAATGAAAACCCAAACTGGACAATAATTATGGGACGGAGGAGTACATGTTTATAAACCATATCTCAATGAGGGTATAAAACATAAATGAAGGTGATATTATAAGAATGTTTATACTAATTGGGAGAAAACAATAAATGTGAAAATACGTTTTTATAAGTTTTATTTTTAATTAGAAAAAAATGATAAATAAAATTCAAGAGAAATCAAATTTACTTTTTAACAAGGACAAGAAGGAGTAATACGAATAATCATACTGTCCCAAAATTATTATTTAGTTTGTATTTTTAGTTTTAGTATAATTTGAATTAGAAATAAAAATTCAAGCTGGATAATAATTTTAGGATGGAAGGAGTATAAAATAAGATTAGTGACCATTGGCATATAAGCCAAATACATAAAGAAAATGAAGAATCTTATGGCGGCGACGACCACCGCCGGGAAGCCCCAACTCCACTCCGTGAGGCTGCTCCGCCGCGCGTATTTCAACGGAGCATTTGCAGCCGTATACCTGTCAGCCGTCTTAGCTTTTTTCTACCGCCACGTCATCTCACTGATCATCCAGTCCAAAACCTTAGCATCCATCTCCATTTCCATTTCCGTACTCATCGCCGACCTCGTACTGGCTTTCATGTGGTTCACTTGCCAGTCATGTCGAATGAAAATGATTGTTCGTGAAGTTCAATTAGAAAACCTTGACAAAGTAATTACTTCCAAGGAGAGTTTCCCGGCCATGGATATCTTCGTATGCACGGCCGACCCTTATAAAGAGCCGCCTTTAAACGTGGTCAACACCGCCTTGTCGGTGATGGCTTATGATTATCCGCCGGAGAAGTTATCGGTGTACGTGTCGGACGATGGTGGATCGGAGCTGACTTTGTTTGCTTTCATGGAGGCTGCCAAATTTGGAAGGTTTTGGCTGCCGTTTTGCAACCAAAACAACGTTATGGATAGGTGCCCCCATGCTTATTTCAACTCCAATCACTCTGCAAGTTGGGAAACTCAAAACATCAAGGTAAAAACTAGTAAATTTTTTCCGAAAGTTATAATCCATATGATTGTCCCAAAATTATTATTTAATTTAAATTTTCAATTTTAATTTAATTTGTAGGTAAAATGAAAATTTAAAATCGGACAATAATTTTGAAAAAGAGAGAGTATCTGTAGAGCTTTCAGAATTGTAGTCTGACTTTTATTATTTACGGTGCTGGTTAAAAAAAGCAATGTGAAAAAAATACCCCCAAAAAAGTAAAATAATGCAAGAGTAATTTCTTGTGAAGAATATATTCAGCACGTCTCAACTTCATAAATCGTCTTTAATTACGAATGTTTCTTTTTCTCCTTTGACGTTTGTCTTATTTTTCGATCCGACCCTCATACGAAAGTTAAAAATTTGTGTTCTTTTCTTTTCTTTTCTTTTTTTTTTTTTTAAAGAATGGTTTTTGGAAGAGAATTCTATCCAGCTTAGTAATATTGCATGTTAAGGAAAATGACAAAATGTCTCACTCAGACATTGTCGTTACTCGAAGTAACTAAAATTGACACATTACAACATTTTTATTGTCATATAATTGCGTTAATGGCAACACAAACAAAAGAAAATGAGAATTAATGTATGCATCGACACTTTGAAGTGATTTTTCTTTGGAGGTAGATGATGCAGTTAGTGACAGATTTAACAACAGATCATAGGAGAATTATGCAGTCTTCTTTCCGATCTTAATTCAACACTTAGTTTCAAATTGTATATTATAAACTAGATGTTACCCGCACGATGTGCGGGATAGATAAATTATATACAAAGATAAAAATAATGTGTATCAAAGAAATATTTTTTATTTTTGTAGAATTAAAATAATTGGAAGAGATTATGATATATTAGTTTCAGGAAATTGACACGTTTGAGGGACTCATTTTATCCACTGATACTATAAACGACCATTCTGTTTCCAAATGGGCTGTAGTAAATCAAATATATTGTACTCTTCCTTCACCTTCTACGTCTAAGCATATGTAGTCGATAATGCATTACTTGCCCCACCTTAAAAATAATTTAAATTTTGTTACAAATAGATATATATATATATATAGATATATATATATATATATACACTGACCGAATAAAATCTCTGAAATTTAGAGATTTCAATTTTTAATGAAACGCTAAAATTAAACGCGATTAATGCTTATCATAATTCAAATCGAATTTTAAAATTCAAAATGTTAAGATATTTTAGTCTAATTTACAACCTAATTAATAAAAAATCAGGATTATATGTTAAGATAATCCTAATTCAAAATGTTAAGATATTTAACATATTTAATATGTTTGAGTTTAAGATATTTTAGTCTAATTTACAACCTAATTCAAAATATTAAGATATTTAACATATTTAATATGTTTGAGTTTAATTTTTTTTGTTTTTTGGTGCAAAAAACTCGAATCAACATTAATGTTGATATTATGATTTCAACTTTCCGATTAAAAAAAATTTAGCATTAATTTTGATTATTTTTTTGGGTAAGGTCATTGGCCATAGTATTTTTAGGTAAGGTCAATCAGAAAATTTATTCAAATCAATCAGTAATAATTATAATAAAATCAAATCAATGTTACCTTTTCTTTATGACACCAAATGGAAAGAAACCATTAATGTTGATTTTTTTAAAAAAAATGTTTTGTTTTTTTGTCTAATTTACAACCTAATTAATAAAAAAATCAAGATTATATATGTATATTGAAATATTTAACATATTTAATATGTTTGAGTTTAAATTTTTTTTTTTTGTGCAAAAAACTCGAAATTACATTAATGTTGATATTATGATTTCAACTTTCCGATTAAAAATGATTTAACATTAATTTTGATTATTTTTTTAGGTAAGGTCATTGGCCATGGTTTTTTTAGGTAAGGTCATCAACCATAATTGGAGCTTTATTTAAGTCAATCAGAAAATTTATTTAAATCAACCAACAATAATTATAATAAAATCAAATCAATTTTACCTTTTCTTTATGACATCAAATGGAAAGAAACCATTAATGTTGATTTTAAAAAAAAAATATTCCGTTTTTTTTGTTTGACCGAATTTAAAAGTGAAAGTTTAGTCCCAATTAATTGATAGAATTTAATTACGATTTGATGAAACTTTATTTACTGAAAATTCAAAGGACTGTTAGTGTAATTGTTGTAAATATTTTTTGTGTCAACCTATAAAAAAATTACACATAGGATTTTGTCTTATGTGTCAACGGGAGGAGAAGTTTGATTTCATCTCTCTGGTTTCTCTCTTAGTATAATACTATAGATAACCGAAAATTGAGTACAAAACTAAATTGTCTTTTCTCTCCATTTGATTGTTGTTCTTTTAATTTCAGCACGTCTACGCGAACTGAAATTTCATGCAATCATTGATGGAAATTTATGGTGGACATTTTATATCCTAGATCGATCCATCTTCATGGTCCCTACGAAATGACAAAATCAGGAAAGAAAAATATTTCACGTCTAGTTATATTGTCCTAATTTCCTGTTGCTGTCGATCGTTTATAGAAAACCTAAATTGTTGGAGAATATCCCCGGTATAAATATTTGCGTAAATACTTCATTTTCTTCTTCTTCTTCCCAGGAGAGTTCGATTAATTAATATTTCAAAAAAGGTTTTCATTCTAAAATGATGATGATCATCTTCTTCATTCTTCTTCTATACACATTGTAAATGAAAGTTTATGATTAATAAAACATTTACAGAACAATGTCAGTATGGCCGTATGGGTCTCATATTGCTATAGTATTTGTTTGTGGTGGTAAATAGTGAGAAGAAAGACTGTGTTTTGTTCACCCAAAAAAATTGGGGAAAAAAAAAAGAAAAAAAAGCCTGGTGTTTTCATAAAAATAAATAAATAAATAAAAAGAAGATTGAGAAGAAAGACTTGTCAGTTGTCACATCTTTTGTTTTCAGTTCTTGATGACCAAGTCGTCCAAGATCATGCTAACCAAGCCAAAGTCTTTTTCCATAATGACCAATTGCCATGGATCATTAAAATGGAATATTCTTATCACAACAAAATTAAAGTATGAATCAATGTATTAGCCATAAATAAATTTACGAAACTATTTGACTGTTGTCTCTAAATTTGCAGGATAAATATGAAAGCATGAAGAAGAAAATAGAAAGTGTGATGAAGAAAGGGAAGGTGACAGATGAATACCTTACAGGCGAGGAAGAGCATGAAGCTTTCTCCCAATGGAAACAAGGAATCTTCACTCGTCAACAACATCCCTCAGTCATTCAGGTTAAACTAATTAAATTAATTAGTCTCCCCCGCCAACTGTGATGTATAAATTCAGATGCATCTTAGTTTTTCTTTATTTGAAAAATCAGCCACGTACTAAATTCCGGAATGTGTAGGACGCTACCGAGAAAAATAAAATTAAGGATGATTGGTGATAACTATCATAGGTTTGAAGGCGAAAACTACACATAAACGAAAACTACATCCGTGGCTATCCATTTAAAACTTACTCCTTTTGTCTTTAAAAAAAAAAAATCATATTAAATTTTCCAATTTATATAAAAATTACTACCTCCGTCCCAAAAAAATAGTCCACTTTGAATTTTCAACTTTGTACTAAAAACAGTACAAAATTCAAAACTCAATGTGGATTATTTTTTTGGGATGGAGGAAGTAGTGTAGATCTAAAATTTCAATTTGGACGATTTTGTTCGGACAGGAGTAATATGATATATGTATGCAAAACAAAAGAGTCACCTTACATACTACTATTTCAATCCATTTTAATAGTTCACGGTACCATTATATAAACATTATCAAATGTATTGTCATTTGTTAGTTTACAATTTTTGTCAGGTTCTGTTGGAAAGTGGCAAGGACAAAGACATTGCGGGAAACTCCATGCCCAACCTAGTCTACGTTTCTCGAGAGAAAAGCAAGGACTCATTCCATCAGTTTAAGGCTGGAGCCCTAAATACATTGGTAATTAAGAAGTATTATTTCCATTAAGATCTTCCCTTCTTAATGTCGGTTCATGTCATGTTTTCATAAACCTTCACGAATAGCAACCTTAAGCCTATATAATTTTAAAAAATACAATGACCTAGTTATTAAAATGAATAAACTATTAACTTTTGGGTGAGGTAGCAAATCTAGGCCTTCTAAATATTAAGGAAAGAAAGCCATAAACCATGAAGTAATATTGTACCTTTTTGTCCCAAAAAAAAAAAAAAAACGTCCATGTAATGTTTTGAAATCAGTGTGATGCTTATGGCTTCGTGAAAATGTTACTCAGCTTCGGGTATCAGCAGTAATGACAAATGCACCAATCATTCTCACTCTGGACTGTGACATGTACTCAAATGATCCCAAAACCGCCCAAAGAGTGCTCTGCTTCCTAATGGATCCTCCTCATCAACCCGAGTTAGGTTACATACAGTTCCCTCAAATGTATCATGGGTTAAACAAAGGTGACATATATGCTTCAGAGTTTAAGATACCTCTTCACATCAACACATTGGGTTTGGATGCTCTCCGCGGCCCCAATCATAATGGAACTGGATGCTTCTTCAATCGGCGAGTTTTCTTTGGGGGGCCTTCATCATTTGTTCAGCCAGAGATTCCAGAGCTCGGACCAGATTATAGTGTTAAAGAGCATATTAAGTCTCGCCATGTAATGAACTTGGCACATCATGTAGCTGGTTGCAAATATGAAGTCGGCACTCATTGGGGCTCAGAGGTAAGGCGGTTATATGCAAGAAAATGAAATATGGTTATTGGCGGGATTTAAACATATGGTCTCGTATACTTTGTTTGTCCTATGAAAATAATTCACTTTATCGAACTAAAACAGTATAATGAAAAGGGCATTGTTTGGAACTAAGTTTCCACTTTTACCGTCTAACCTGAATTTCACATAATCTTCTTTACATGGAGTTGATATAGCTACACATTTTATTTGCAGATTGGATTCAAATATGGAACTGTGGTGGAGGACTTCTACACGGGTTACTTACTTCAATGTGAGGGATGGCATTCCATATTTTACCATCCAAAAAGGCCAGCATTCCTTGGCGATGTACCAATCTCCTTGTTTGACATAATCAGCCAAAATAAGCGGTGGTTTGTAGGATTTCTTGATGTAGCTTTCTCAAAGCACAGCCCATTAACATATGGTGTCAAAGCCATGGGCTATTTACAAGCTTCCAGTTATGGACACTATTCTCTCTGGGCGATCTGGTCAATTCCTATAGTTATATATGCCTTCATCCCTCAACTCAGCTTGCTCAACAAAATGTGCATCTTCCCACAGGTATTCAATGAGGAAATTTTCATTCACAATTTTAGTACCATTTTGGCGTATATCACTATCTTGAAAATTATTTTGGTTTTAGTAACGTCCTATTAATTTCATGATGAGTTTTACAGATGTCTGATCCATGGTTTAAACTGTACTCCTTTTTGTTTCTGGGAGCATATGGACGACATTGTCTGGATTTCATTTTAGCACAAGGTACAATTGCAAGGTGGTGGAGTGAACAAAGATTTTGGCTCATTAGAGGGCTCACCTCTCACACATTTGCAACCTTTGAAGTCGTAACCAGGAGTTTGGGCATCAATATTGCGACACAGGGATTCAACGTGACAAGTAAAGTAATAGATGATGAACAAGCTAAGAGGTATGATCAAGGGATATTCGAGTTTGGGGTGGAATCACCAATGTTTGTGCCATTGTCCATGGCAGCAATCCTCAACTTGGTTGCTTTTCTCTATGGCTTTCTAAAGATCAACTTGGATGGTTTCTTTGTTCAAATGTTTGTTGCTGGTTTTGGGGTCTTGAATTCTGTACCCATTTATGAAGCCATGATCCTGAGAAGAGACAAAGGAAGAATGCCCACCAAAATCACCATCATTTCTGCTCTTCTTGTTTTCGTTCTTTATGTTGCGAGTTTATTTGTACTAAACATGTAGATCGGTTCTCACCTCATTTATGAAGACAAAGATATGTGCGCATGAGTAGAGAATTTGAGAAAAAATAAAAATAAAGAAAAGAAAAGTAAAGACCCTCGTGCCCGTGGTATATAGCTAGCGTAAATAGAAGAAAACAAAATCTTGTGATGTTGTATATTGATTTCAGTTGAGGGTTTTGTTTAGAGTCTTGTAAAATACTAATTAACTAGAAAATCTCAAGTAAAATATTTGTCCAATGTTTGCAGGATCGTGATCCTATATAGGATTGAAATGAGGTCACATGATTGGATTGTAAATGGGATCGGTAGGATCGGAATAATAAAATCGTAACAATATAAAATTATTTAAAATTATATATATGAAGCAAGAGGTGTATTTTTTCCAATTTATTTGTTTCCTATAGAACAAAACAAATTTTAATTTCTCAACGTATTAAGTTGTAAGCGTGTACGCGGTCATGAATATGTTTCATTTTATCAAAACTCTTCACAAGAATATCATAGTTAGTTTATGTTTATTTAGTTGAGTGAAAACTATTATTTTAATTAAAATAGTTCCAATATAATTGGTACAATTTATTTTATATATATACTAATTCTTGCTATTGTTTTGGTTTTTTTTTTAAAAAAAAAAAACTTTTTACTAGTAAGTTATAATTCGCATGCATAAGATATCTAACCAATTGATCCTTTAATTAAAACATTAATTAACTTTATCATTTATCAGTTTGACTCATAATACTAATAAACCTGAATCACTTAGAGACTCTGACTTTTTGTTTGACCGCTCAAACAAAAATACCTTGTTTCTTTATTTCTTTGGAAATAATTAATTGCAAATTTTCTTTCCTTCTCCATCATCTCCTCCAAGGCGCCGTTCTGCTCACAGTGAGCATTTGTTCCTCCAAAAAACAAAGCAGTGGAGGCCAAATTGCAAGAATTAAATCAGATTTGAAGACTATTATTTGGGACTTAGAAATTAACGACACCCATCTCTTTTTTATCAAATTGATTTGTGAGTTTATATAACTCCCACCGTCCCACGCTTTTCAGGAACTCAAACCCCCAAATTCATCTTTCTGTTATATTCTCCCGGATCTCTTTCATATCCAAATTGGTCAATTGTTCTAGAATAGTTGAACTCGGCGGAATCGTACGATCCCATCGATTCCGAAACGATTCTGACGATTTCACTCCGAGTCCAAGACAAAAAACGATTTTGAGCGAATTAGGATCAATTTCACCATCTCGGATTGCAGGATCGTGCGATTTTACGAACTGGATCGCAAATTTGCAAACTATGTTAATGCGTCCCTCATCTCGTCAATTAATTTAATAGTGCTTTTTTGACGATTCAGTAATGGTTCAAAGTTACACGTTTCATTCGAAAATGTTAAACCATGACTAAAACACAATTAGTCGCCAGTGTGATTCACTCCCAGTTTTCTCTTGTAAAAGTTCTATACATGCTTTTAGGCTTATACCTCTACTTTGTTGTAGAAATGAAAATTAGTACTCTGACTAGATCTTATTTATCTTTAATGCACGAATTCAATTTTGTAGTTTCCATCTCTTTCTTTATTCACAAATAATCATAATAATAAAATTTTTAAATCTAATATTGATATTATTAGTAGTAAAACTCTAAAAGGAAAAAGAAAAAAAAAAAGACTTTCTATCGTAAAAAGAAAAAGAAAACGTTAGTTATAAGAAATGCACGAATGAAAATGACGGGTTCGATAAATAATCCAAATACTGTAGAGACCTTCACATCAAATTATTGAGAACTACAGGAAAGCATAAGCGTACCTTAATCTGAAGTGGCAAGAACATCAATCCGGTTTGGCGTTCCAGATGATTCCGTCAAGCTCTTGTGGGAACCTCTGACAAATGGGGAGCCGAGATTTGGCATGACGGCTCATCCGGGGACCACAATTAATATATAATAGGGTTTCCGGTTCCACCCATCACAGAACAGGAAATTGGGCTTTAGGGTTTCTACACAATACTGGGCCACACTCTAATTTATTATCATAAGCCCAAACTTAAGTATGTTAGATCACTTTAATTGGGCCGGTACTTTAAGATAGTTTATAATATACAATTATATATATTTGTGTATAAAGTCCACATAGATCTTACAATCTCCCACTTGGACTATACACCATATATATATACCTTATAATTGTATATTATACCGAAAACTTAAGAGCGAGCAGAATTTGCTATCATAAAGTGACTTAAACAATCCCGTCCATTAATTATATAAGCATAGGATCAAAGGGGCAGTTGTTGCACGAATGACAACTAAACCCATCAGTGGTCACATACATAAATATAACTAAATGACATGGATCAAGTGTGGATGTGTAGCATGGAAATTTCATGTAATGTGATCTTTAACATACCTATTTCTAACTGGTCCTCTTTATACTTCAGCGAGATCAACCAAAGTTTCAGAATGTAAGCACACTGAAAAACTTAACCTTATACCTTAAACTTTACTTGAGACTTTAGACTTTGTACTGCAGTATTAATTAGTATATGAATGTTCATAAATGTATGAACCTTTAGTAAAACCAAAATTACAAACTCCCACTAAACCGTCATATCATCAGATTACACAATACTCATTTAAGCAATACCTTATCTGAAGTAATCTGTGATATTGGAGTTTGTCCGAATGTGCTCTTTAAAAATTTGTTCATTCTAAACTTAAATCTAACTATTAAGAACTTAATGTTCATTGTTATTAGAGTATCTGAATTGTTACATTATTGTCACATTAAAACTTAAGTAGTCTTTTAAGACCATACTGTATTTGCAGCCTTGTGACAATATCAACAACTAAACTGAATCGAAGTCGGGATACTGAATGATCTCTAACTTGACCGAACTTCGATATGTGAGCGTGTAATCTTTAATGTCTTAATGATTCCGTGTAACCTTGTAGCTGCTACTAAAATCTAAATCTGAATTTATTTATTTATTACTAAGTATCTACCTTAAACTCCCACTGAAATTGTGATGTGTATAATCATCACAATATTCACCTCAAAACCAAATGAGATGAAAACTTAAAAGTACTTGAGTTATTAACATGAAACTTTTGTAAGTCCTTAGATGGAATTCTTTAATTTGCAAACCATCAAACAAAATTTTTCGGTTGCACCAAATAAATTGTCTCAAAATGTTGCCATTAAGAAATAATCTTTTAATATCCATCTAATGAAACTCAAATATAAAATGTACCATATATGCCATTATAGAATGTCTTAAAATTTGGACTTCCACAACTAAAGAGAAAGTCTCTATATGATAATGCCATCTTTATGACTAAATTCTTTATTAAGAAAATAACTCTACATCACCTTTGGGTAATGAGAAAAGAGCCTAAACGTTATTTTTATCAATTACGGTATTTATTTATTTTATGGCATTAACCGTCACTGTATTTCTTCTCTATCTTTTGGATTCCCTTAATGGCATCCGTACTTGAGATTGTTGAGTTTGTCCTTTACAATTGTCTTGATGAGGGAAAGTTATAACACTATTTTAAGTTACCATATAAATAGAAAAATATTCCCTTTAAAGAAAATGTCATTAACCTTATCATCCCCTCCAAACTCAATATTCTCAAGAAAATAGATATTTTCCGTCTAAAAGAAGGATTATTTTTGGGATCTTAGAACTTATGTCCCCTAGATATTTTAGCGTGTCCAACAAAATAGCAACAAACCGAATCTAGTTTTGTTCCTGTAGACCTACGCGACCTTGCCTTAACTGGATAATTCAAAATATAGAAATGCCTATAGCTAGCTTGTTTGCATGTCCATAATTCACAAGGATTGTTGCTTTAGTTGGGACACTGTCCTATCTATAAGTTGCAGTTTTTATGTCTTTTTTCTTTTAGTGAGTTTAACTAAGTTGTAGAACTTGTCATACTACTTAGCCGATTCTTTAGTTTTCAAATTCGTCTAATAATAACATTATTAATAGTAATACTTTTTGGCATAGTGATACTATATGACATACCATATTCACTAAGAAATTTGACCAGACCATAGACATAGTTCACCTAATACTTAATTAGTTTATAAAATGTATTTAGTCTTAAAACTTTGAACAAGTTTAGACCTTAGTACTTCTCAGTAATGATAAAGAGGTAGCCCTGGGAAGTTGTTTGGGAACATAATACAATATGCGTGACCATTCTAAAAGAAGACCGTAAAGAATGGTTTAAATATATCCGTATATATTAGTTCTAACAACATCTGAAAATTTTACGCCACCCAATCTTATTTTGTTTGTTTGTTTTGCTTACTGCACTTAACTCAGATTTTGAAATCTGATAAGTCAAGTGGAATTCTGACTAACTTTATTATTTGTCTAAAGCAAGTGCCTTAAACAGTTTTACCAAATTGATACGAAATTCCCATTACCAAATTTTCTTTTAGTACCACATACATGCAATGTTTGGTTAATTGAAGCAATGGTTTTAAGTAAATAAAGGTTACCATGACTTAATAAAGAATTGAATTGACTTTCTTTGAATTTTGAAAGAGGCAAACAGACTGTCACCAAAAAAAAACAAAGTAGCCGTATTTTATTCAATATGGAAACATAAATGAAATTCCGTCTAAAGATGGAACAACAAAGAACTCTTTCAAAATCAAATAAATTTCAGTCTTTTAATGATAACCTAAAAAATTTTATTGCCTCAATTATAATTGGCTAACATATGCGCCATATAGATGTGTCTTTCAACATCAATTCGCTTTTAGTGATTCAACCAACCTAACATAATAGATACACTTATATGAGTAGTAGTATCGGAGTCTACTCACTAAGTATGCTTAGCTAGGTACCAAAATAGAATGAACCTTAAAACAAACAAAAACAATTACTATGTAATTCCTTTAAGTCAAACAGAGAAGCACCACTACAAAAGTAGCAACCAAATTTAATTTCCTAATTTTGCTTTTTTTGTGATACTGTATACTGCAACTTAATTATCATTCTTTTTCTATTTTTTATTTTCCAAATGATTTAAACTTAATTGAGTACTTATTGATTCTTCTTTATTTTCCAAACGTATATTCATCTCTTACTTTAATCTCCCTTCTTGTACACAATATGAAATGAACTCATTAAAAGTCCCTTCTACTTAATTACAGTAAAACTGTTCATAACCGAATCTCATTGTGTATGAGAGAGATGAAATATAACTTTAGTACCTTAAATCTTAATTCGAGATGATACTTTTAAATAATGCATTTTCTTATGTTCCTGTTTTCTTTATACCTTCTAGAAACAAGATCTTTTAAAAGAGAACTCGTTCCCACAAGTAGGAATAATTTGTTTTGCATTATTTA